ATGTCACAGACATACATAGTTATCCTAATACTTATTTAGATAATAAGAATACATAGAAGTAATTCAAAGTAGATAAATATAATAATATCTTGTAGAAAGCTTCTTAAAAGCTTTATAGACGTTGCTTTGCCTTTATACATATCTATAGGTGATTGATAGGTTGAAAACTTGGCCAACAAAGAGGCCACGTATCAACATATTGACCACTTATAATACAAGTTGGACATATGATACACACCTAGGAAACTTGCCTTGCAAATTAGACATATGTCTTACAAGTTGGACGCATATTAGAGGTCTTATAGCATATTGCCACGTATTTCTTAGTTAAGTAGTATATATAGAAGCAAGAGTGAGATATTCCTCACTCTTGTTAATTCTTTTCTTGCTTTTAGTTTAGTTTCAAGAGTCTTATGTTTTCTAGTCTTTGACAATAGCCATTCTAATTCTTCTTTGAATATACATATTTTTTTCTATTTTGTCACTTTTCTTTTGACACAGATTCCACAAGTTTATGTATCTCTTTCTAGTTTGTGTCCTTGACATTATTCTACCATATCTCTTGTATTATAATTTTTCCATTGAATTCCACTATTTTAATATCTTTTCATTTTCCAATTGACTTTTTAAGAGTAGCTAGTAGTAGCCTTAACATAATACCTTGTATGACTACAAAAATTGACCTTGGACTATATAATGACTATTGACATGCTACCAAAAGTAAACATTCTAACACCTACTTTGATATCAATGAAACACGATCAAAATATCTCAAAAAAATCCAAGATCCTTCTATTTCAGAGTAACATAAAATTTCATCACAAAATAGGATAAAACAAACTAAAATAGAACTAAATAGAACTACACAAAATAGGACATGAAAGACAATTGAAAAAATAGAAACAAAATAAAACCAAACTAAACAAAAGTATGAAAAATCAAACTTTACTAAAAGAAAGGATTTAAAGCCAAACCTGATCAAATGCTCTAAAAGGCCCTAGCCAATCTTATTTATACCTTATCCTACTACCATGGACTTTTTAGAATATTTTTAGGTGGTCGGCCTCACATAGATAACAGCCTTAAACTTCTTTTCTAAAAGGTTCCATAGTAAGCTCTACCTAAATAATCGCCCTAAGCCTTTCCTACAAGATTCTATAGTAGGCTCCACCTAAATAACTGCTCTAAACTCTTCTAGAATGTTCTATGGTGAATCCTATCTGGTCTATTAATTTAATCTCAATTCAAAAAACTTCTATGGTTTTAACTATCTATATAATTATTTTTTCTATATCTTATTACAATTAAAAATTTAACAATTAAAAAAATACCTAATAATATTGAAGCAGCAATAGAGAGGTTAAAAGAAATAAGAAAAAGGAATTATGAAAGATTTGATAAAAAATACTAACCACAACCTAAGGTAATTAAAGATAGCAATTAGATGTTAATTTATGATAGTAGCTTGAATAATCAACATAGTACAATAAGGAATTTTGCAAAGAGATGGTTTTGGCCTTATGTTGTCAAACAAGTATATGACAATAGAAAATACTTGTTACAAAAACTTGATGGTACAAAAATGAAGATACTTACAGCACGTAAGTAAATCAAGTTATTTAAATAAAGAGATGAAGACATTTATTTCAATGAAGAATAAAATCCATTACAAGACATTGAAACAAAAGTAGATTAATAAATTAAATATCAAGAATTTGACCAAGATGGAAAAAAACTTTATATCAATGTGATGAAAAAAAACTTAATACATATCGGATGATGTATAAATTCAAGAAGAATAGATGTTGTAATATAATATGGCTAATAAATAAAAGAGAGAAGAAAAAATTATATTATAAAAGATCTTATTTTAAAATATTATAACAAATTATCTTAAAAAATAGGTAATAGTCAAAAAAATAATAAAACCAAAAGATATTATTGCTGTCTTTTTACAAAATAGGTTTCTATTTACTTTGTAGGATCATAAATAAAACAAAATAAAGTAGATTAGAAAATAAAATAATAAAGATATATATATAAGAAGGAATTAATAATAGATTTTAGTAAAATTTACCTCAAGAAGTCAAGAATTGATACCCAAAGAGGATTGATTGTCAACCTGGGTCAAAATCATATCCTAAGGCATAAAACCATATATATATATATATATATATATATATATATGGTGACTTTGGGGCTCTTTGGTACATTAGAGAGTGGAATTTTGAAGCAAAATTTTAAATAGATTTTTAAGCATTTATTTTATATCAATTGAATAAATATTTAATATTATAAGAATTTTCAAAATTAGTAATATTCTTGGTTGGTTTAGATTTTGAGAAATAAAACTATATTTATATATTTGAAGGTTTCTTAAATTTTGTAATATATATACAAGTAAATTTTGGGTAAAATATTGGTGTACTAGTTGTAAATGCATGTAAAAATTTTGAGATCAATCAAACAATAAGATCAAAGTGTGTGAAAGATTTTATTGGTTGAGGTCTTAGAAATTAGAGTTTGAGGATTGGTGAATATTTTTAAGATCTTTAGCAATTTTTTAATTGGATTGAAGTAAAATTCTTTTATATAGAGACTAGACTTGATTTCCAATAATTTAAATAAATTATAGAATAAATTTAATAATTCAAAAAAGAAATATTAGTATTCGAAGTTCAACATTTAGATTGAAGTAAGAAGCTTGCTAACATCCGAGTGGATTTTAAGGTTTTTTTTCCATTTGGTAAGTACAATTATCTTCAAATTTATTGTACTTGTTTTTAATTAAGAGATTGAGAGATGTATAAATTTTTAAGTAAAATCAACAATTTAATTTAATAAATATTGGAATTCTAATCTACCTTAGGATTGATTTGAATTAGTTAGGTTTTGGTTAAGATTTGGTTTGAGATTTAGGATTTGTCTAGGATTTGGTTTAAGGTTTCAGATTTGTCTCGGGTTTAGTTTAAGATTTAGGATTTAAAATTTGTCTAAGATTTGGTTTAGGATTTAGGATTTAGTTAGAATTTGACATAAAATTTAGTTAAGGTCAATTAGGATTTTAATTAAGAGTAAAATAGGATTTTATTAGGATTTATTTAAAATGGCCAATGTATTCTCAAGCAAGACTTCACGTAATTTGACAACATACATATATACTTATTCTAATATTTAACTATATGATTTAATAGAAGAAGGTAAAATTAAATTTATTTCATAATATTTTTAAGAGAAGCTTATTTAATGCTTCATAGACACTACTTTGACTATACATGTGTTTGTAATTGATTGATAGGTTAGAAACTTAGTCAAAAAATTAATCATATCTTGATAGCTTGTGAAACAAGTTAATTATGTGGCATACATATAGAAAACTTTCCTTGCAATTTAAAATATGTGTCTTGCAAAGTCAACAAGTTTTAGAGGTCCTACAAGACATCACTATATAGCTCTTAATTAAGAGTATATATGGAGGCCAAAGTAAAGCCTTCTTCATTCTTGTCAATGCCTTTCTAGTCTTTAGTATTGTTTCAAGACTTTCTAATCTTCTTCTATTTAACAATAGCTATTCTAGTTTAATATCATATCATCTTTGAGTGATATATTAGACTTTTTGAATGACACAATAGTATATTTATATTTTAGTTCTTTGAGATTTATATCCTTGATATTCTTTTTTTAACCTATAAGTAAGTAAATAGTAGTTTTTTATTATTTATTTGCTCAACTTACTTATATCCATCTATTTACATGTAAGGCAGCTATTCCATTTCCAATCACTTAAGCATTTTAGCATATGTGTAATAGGTTTATGAAAAAATAAAAATACCTTAATATAGTGAAATAAAAATCAAAAAGATTTTAAATGTTTTCACACAATTTTGACCATAAACGGGATTTATATTAATGTTTTAGCTAAAGATTCTCTTTGATCTAAATCCAACATGTAGGCCAACCTAATTCAAACTAGTAGTTGGTTATAAAATTGAAAATGCTTGATTTCTAAACAAATTTTCTAAGTTGGCATGAAATTCTTAATTCCTTACTTAATGGTGCCATTGAATTGAAGTGAAATATGAATTAAGTATTATATTATTACAAAGTGTCCAAATTGATCAATACTATCATGTCAAGTTCATCGGAAATACACCACACTATGGGCTAGAAATGGGAGGTGGTGGAGAATGGGTCGGCTACCTTAAATTACATGTACAGAACATATGTTGAAAGGCACTCCGCAGCAAACAAGTGGAGGATGGCCACAGTGCTGCCAGGTAGGTATGCTTTCAAGTCAAGTCAAGTCAAGGAATCTGACAACCCCACCCAAGTCTAGAAACCATACAAAAACACAGTTGGGATAGATAGACACTACTTCCGAAATTTCCAAGCTGTAATGAATTTTACGCAGTGGAGGGTGATGAGTAAGTTTTTTTCTGGATAATTGTAAGGTTTGGTGGAGCACTAAGAGGCTGCGCTTTGTGGGTGTCATTCCTTGTGCTCCATTTAGGAGAATGAGATCGAGCGCATCACAGTAATCTCCACAATGACTTGTGGTAGATTCTTGTACACCACCATATCATGGTTTGTAGTTGAGGCTTTCTTCTGGTGAAAGATAGGATTAGCACTATTAACCGACGGTTTGATGGAAGCGATGTCGATCACAATAGAAATCTGCTCATGGCACCGGCCACCCTGCACCAGGAAGTTATGTTTCTTTTGTCTCAATCAGGAACGGAGATGAAGTTTCGAAGGGGATGGTGACGATTACACCGAGATATAGTGCCTGGAATTACGAACAAACACGTGGAAACGCGGCCAATGATTGAAGGTCGAGATGTTGTTTGCTGCAAACGCGGTTGATTCGGTGACAGAAAGCCGAAGAAGAGCAATGGAAGAGTGACAGAGATGGAATGAGACCCCTGGTTACATCTTCGGAATGAGGAGTAGACACTCAGAGGAATGGTGTTGCCTGGTGGAGCATGGTGAGCACGGTTTAATCCTTCGCTGGTTTCTTTTCGATCTGCTTTTGAAATTCGCTCTTTATCTGGAACCATCTCATCTGTTGCCAACGCTTGACACGTTGGCATTGCAAAGTGGTCGGTTGTCTGTGCTTTTTTCGTGCACCGCAGTAGGGTGATTCCGAACAATTTCAGAACTATCTCACAGGTGCAGGTTTCTGTTCTCTACTTAAGACTGTTTTCTGAGCTGTAGTAGAATATCACAATTCAAGTGAAGTTTAGAGTAAACTTGCGGGAGTGTTTTTGAGTTGGTGCAATTTTTGTGTTTTGCTAGTGAGTCCTTTTTGGTTGTGAAGTTTAGAGCTGAAGAGATGGCTTCTTCGGAGGATAGTACAAGGACCGTGCTGGTCACGGGAGCTGGAGGCAGGACGGGAGCGATTGTCTTCGATAAGCTGAAGAAGACTGAGAAGTTTGTGGTCCGTGGTTTGGTGCGGACGGAGGAAGCCAAGGCAAAGTTGGGAGGGAAAGGTGTTTTCATTGGTGATGTCACAAAGGCCGATACCTTGAGCGCTGCATTTGAAGGCATCGATGCTTTGATTATTACAACGAGCGCGGTGCCGAAGATGAAACCCGGATTCGATCCCTCCAAGGGTGCTCCCCCGGAGTTTTACTTCGAAGAGAACGGATACCCCGAACAAGTCGATTGGATTGGACAGAAGAATCAGATCGATGCTGCTAAGGCTGCAGGGTGCAAGCACATCGTCTTGGTTGGATCCATGGGAGGCCAGAACCCTAACCACATGCTGAATTCTCTCGGAAACGGGAAGATTCTCATCTGGAAGAGGAAGGCGGAGGAGTACCTGTCCCAATCCGGCGTCCCTTACACGATCATCCGAGCTGGTGGATTGCAAGACAAGGACGGCGGCATCCGCGAACTCATCGTCTCCAAAGACGACGAGCTCATGAACACCGACACAAAATCCATCACCCGAAGCGATGTCGCTGAGATGTGCATCCAGTCTTTGTTGACCGATCTGTCGAAGAACAAGGCTTTCGATCTGGCCTCCAAACCTGAGGGCCAAGGGACCCCCACCACCGACTTCAAGTCCCTCTTCGCCACCATCACCACCCCATTCTGAGCTGCTGCTCAGATGTTGTGCGTTTTCAACCACCGCAACACATCCACATGATGCGTGTAACTTAAAGTGCAGCCTATGATTATATATATTTCCATTGCATCCATTGCAATTCTAGTGCCCATTATTTGCTTCCAATGTTCTGATCACCACCATCTGAATTGAGTTTTGATCGATACGAAACACCGAAGTTGTTCAGTTTCCTGTATTTTGCACCAGTTTCTGGCTTAATGGTGGGATAGATTCCACTGGCAATGCAACCACGAATCACATGTCCATCTTCAGTTTGAAGCCAACCGATCAATCTCGAAGCTTTTTTCTGCATTAGAATGGGTGCTCATCTGCGCAACCCTGTCGATGTTTGATGCTTCCTCATTCTGTAGCAAAATATTATATTGGAGTAGTCTGGTTCAGTTCAACTCTTAACATGAACGGGTGTGTCTTTTCTTGTGATATAAAATATAATTATTTTTCCTCTTGAGTTTGTATGCTGTGTACTGTTTTTAATATTATTATTATTATTATTAAATCTAAGAGAGTGTACATTCCAACTTCTAATATGGCGTTAAAAAGAGATGTTTTAATTTAGCAAATTTCAGTTGTGGCCGAATTCAACTGAATTCTGCATATTTCCTTGAGATAACTGGTTGCTTGTGACATTAGTGTATTGTTTTTGAGAATCAAGTTGTGGGTGAAGGTAAAGGTCATCAAATTTGACACAAATATTTCAAAATTTGACTATTATCTCAAATTGACTGCAAAATTAGTTTTCATTCTTTTTCATTTTCCTTTTTTCATTTTTTTGCGTATTTGTAGAAGTCATTCTGTTTATAGGTATTTAGATGAAGTAAAACAAAAATGTCATTTATTTATGGATTTTTTTAAAGATAATATTTTATTATTTCTTTCAATAATGTTAAATTCATCAATATATATATTTATATCTTTTACCTTTTGTCCTTGAAATTTCACACAAAAAATATTTTGAAAATTTTTTTTACAAAAAAATATGATCAAAAAATATAATTCAGTATAAAATCAAAAAACTTATATATTATAATGGTAAATTCAATTACTTTTAATGTTATATAATAGTTTTAGTATGTATGAACGGTTATACATACATACATACATACATATCGTCAAATATATTTTAATGAAGTTGAAAAAATAAAAAATAAATAGAAGAAAGTGATATTCAATAATTTTTGAAAAATTTTCAATAACCAGTTACAATTTTGCAAATTATTTTTAAATTATTTTTTAGTAGAGCCAGCACATCAAAAATTACATTATTATCATCATCACAATCATCAATATTTTAAACAACCATTTTGAAAAGAAAAAATAATATTTATCTAGAATGAAACCAACACTTGGGTTCAAAAACAAGCGACGAGCACCAAATCACAACTATCCCACATAATACATTCAAAGCAAATGGGCTCAGTTCGCACCCCCAGGGCTAAATACGTACGGGATACTAATTCCATACACATACAGTACGAAATCGTACGAGTACGCCCAGCGCCGTATGGCAGAGCGGAGGAAGGGAGGGAGGCGGTGGGAAGGTGCGGCGGGGGGAGGGTGTCGGTGGTGGTGGTGGAGAGTGGTGATCGAGGGGTGGCGATGGGAGCTTCACGCGCGTTGGTTTCCATCCATCGTTTTAATTGGAAGGGTGCCCTTTCACTTGTTTACTTTCCCCTCTCCTACATTCGACGCCCGAATTGTAACCTTTGCAGTGTTCGAACTGAGCTGAGTGGCAGCAGAGCCGAACCGAACTGTGAAGCGGAAGATTATTGAGGCTACGGGGAGAATAGACTCACAAGTCTTCATTGCAGACAGAAGGGTTTGGAGATTAGGCGGTAGGTGGCCGGTGCTCGCCCTGGGTTTGACAGGATGTGAGTCTGCGGGGTGAGAGCGTGAGCTGTCGTTCGCACTGGTTTGTTGGGTTTGGTTGGGTTTGGTTGGGTTGAATTTTTATGACGTGTGGTGAAATTCGTTCGGCTGGGTTCTCACTGACGGGTGAGGTATTGGGTTTATTGAATATATCGGAGACAATCGTTGCATGCATTGGGTGTGACTCGAGAAGTCTTGTTAGTAGCTGTCAATGATGGCTGTAGCGCGTCTGAGAATTTGGATTTTTCGGAGGGAATTCGGAGGTACGTAGTGTAGAGTGGTCGTGTTGACGGGGAATGACATTCATTCATCGGCGTAGCTTGCGAAAGCACAATTATGTACTTCAGTTGAAATTTACGTACATGCAGATTGTGAAAACTCGACAGGAAAAAGAAATAGGGCAAGAAGGGACGTTATTTGGTAGTGGAGTTGGTTATTCTGTTATGTTTTTATCAATTTCTATCACCTTTCGAAACCCTGAGATCTACTTTCTCGAGAGATTCTGGAACCATGCTGCCCCCCAGGCCTTGGTTGATTGGTGATTTGAAATCTCCAAGTTTAGGACATTAGCCTGATTTGTATCAACGTTCTGATTCAGTGACTTCGTTTGACAGGGTTGGTGATGTAAACGGATGAGCTCTTTGAAACTGAATTGACGCCAGGCGATATGAGCGGCGAGAGCAGTGTGGTAGATGGCGAGCAAGATTCATCCTCCCATGGCACCAGGTCAAACCTTCCTCAAGCACTGTGGAGAAAATCGATGGCTCCAGTGAAATCTTTGAAACGGGTGAACTTGGCAAATGCAGCAGGACAGTTTCTTGTATTTGGAGCTAAGGTGGCAGCGTTGGAGGCAGTCCGAAAAATATCGCTAGCACGATGTCGACCTCTTTGGTGGGGTTTGCAAGGCCTTTTCACCATCCAAGCTCCACCGTTCAACTGGCTGCAACGCTGGTCTCCTTTTCAACAAATTGCTCACGCTACTCATGTAATCCTACTTGAGCTCTCAGTGGTGTCTTTATTTGTCTCCAGCTATCGCATCACAATCTCCTCCATCCATGTTTTTTCGAAATGTGTTTTTGTAAATATCTCTCGGATATGGATTCTAGAAAGGATTTGCTGCGTAGTTGCAGCTACCGTAGGAGGTGGCAATTCCGTGGCATTATAGTTCATGCGGAGAGAAGAATTGAGTATGTGAGACGAACAAACCAGTTTCTCAGTTTTGTTCGTTCTAGAGTTCTGAGCAGACCTTAAATTGCTTGGCAGAGCTTCTCGAAGCCCCTTGTATTTTTGTCAATTGCGACTGCTGTAACAAGCGCCATTGAGGAGATACAAAATGCAACGGACGACACAATACTCACTCGTCTTGCCCCATTGGATGATTCTACTAATCGTGACACCGATCACGACCACTCTGACAGTGAAGATAGTGAGGATGCGATTGCGCCAAGAGACCGAAGAGCCCTAACCTTTCATCTTCTCAAAGAAGAGTTGGAGGATAAATGTATCACCCTGCCTGAAAGGTAAATATCAATCAGAGCTTGATACACTTTCAACAAGGTGCCGATACTGAATGATAGTCAAAGCTTAGGACTTGAACATCTAGATTTCAGAAAATGTATTTCGTACTCTGTGATTGTTAAAGGCATTGTCATAATATTTCCTTCTGGGAATCTCTTGCTTTTTGTGGGTTGTCGTTTTTTAGTGTTCCATGGCAAGATATAAGAAGGTGCTTGAAGGTGGGTTTGCTTGGACGGACTGCAGGATGGATGATGAGGAGCTGGAAAGGTTTCTCATAGCTGTCAATGGTGATGTTTCCAATTTCATCGCCAGGGTTAAGAAAACAGTTCAATGGCGAGAAAGACATCACATCTTCACTGCAGCGGAATTGAAACGATGGGAGCACCTTGTTTATTGGCACGGATTTGACGTTCAACGCAGGCCTGCACTTATCATTCGGCTGGGCCTTGCTTTTGCCACTTTAGATCCTGCTGACCATCCAGGCTTTGCTCAAGCTGTTGGTATGTGCAGATGTCTTGTACTTAGTTGATGCGCCTCTAATTTACAGGATTTGGAATCGTGAGAAATAAATTCTAGTCTCGTTTGTGCGTATTTGAATCAATTAGATCCAGATTGTCACTACCTGGTTTCGCACTTGCTCAAAATCTCCTCTCGGTGAAGCTTTGTTGAGGCATTGGGGCTGCAGTGTCACAGGTGGAGGCTGGAGTCTTGAAATTGGTGGTGGACAAGGACGACCCAACCATTACGGTAATAATGGATTGCGAATGTGAAAATACTCTACGTTTTCCCATGGAGAGATTAAAATCTCGAATTCGTTTACTTCAGGATCATTACCCATGCCGATTGGCAACTCTTCTGGTGGTTAACCTTCCACCTGAAATGCGCGGATTCGCTCAGGAAGTCTTCCAGGTATTGCTGTTTGAATTGTTTCGCGATTACTTTATCTTGCGAGTTTAGGAGATAAGTTGAGTTTCAGTGATCTTTCATAAAATTTATCTTTCTTGTTATACTGCAATATGTCGAGAAATGGTTGAAGTGCCAACGTAGCGGTGCATTGATGTCAAGCGTTTGCTGTTGGAACAGATTCAGAATCCTGTGACTCAGACGAAGGTGCACTTGAATGGGTATCGCCGATACATGGGGCTTATAGCTCAGCATCTTGGAGCAAGTGAAAATGTTCCTCCATTTCTTGGTGGCACATGCAAATGTCAAATCTGTAGTAACAAAGTGCTCTCAGATGAGGATCAACGCATAATTTTGAAAAGACAAGCTGAAGCCAGGCAGTGGGAGCTGGAAGATGCGAACAGAGCAAGGGAACTTGATTTGTGCAGGGATATTTCGTCGAGTGAGCAGCCCTATATGAGTACGTTGCGGCTTTTAATTTTAGCTTTTTGCATTTCTTGGTTAATGTTGCGGTGGTTGCAGAGCTTACTCCTCTTAAATCTTCAATCCACTGGGTTAATTTGAGAGTTTTTCCTCTTTGGTCTTCACAAAAATTCCAAATTCGAACCCTAACTTTTGGAATCATTTTTAGAGAAATAATTTTGTTAGTGATGTAGGAATGGACACTTCGAAATGCTGACATGTGGCTATATTGAATAGCTTAATGGAAACCTGTTTGTCACAGGAAACTTTTTGATTGTCACTTTTACTTTGTGAATCTACTAACACAAGAGAAAGTTAGTTTCAGGTTTGGTTTACGCTGGTGGTCGTAGGTAATTAACGTCGTTTACACTTCATGAGACTTCATTAAGCAGGGGTAAGGTCGGGGCACAGGTTGAGCATGAGCTCAGGAATGATGACCATTAATCAATGGGTGGTTGCCGACATCGAGAATTACACACGGTCCCGAGCTGAAGTTGAACCTCGAGACGAGAACTTCTCTCCAAGGGATTTTCTTCACAATCAGTCTGATTGTCCACTCTCCCAGAAAGCTGATGGGCCTTTGATCATTGTTTACCTTCATCCTGTCTATAATTTTTGCATTAGCGGCAGTTACATCAATACGAGTGAAAAATGTTGCATTCAAGCATTTTCATTTCATACGCTTAGATGTGAAGGTGTGCGTTGTCGTCAGGGCCTATTGTTGATTAATGATCTTTTCTTTTCTTTTCTTTTTCCAATTTCCAAAATTGCCCTTGACGACTTCCCTCAAAGATTCGAATTTCAGTGCAGTAATTGAACAGAGCCTCGTGTCCATAGTGGAGTGTTGTCATGGAATCGGTATCTTCGGATCACTTACGATGGCGTACCAAGGCTCTGTATCAGGGTCCACATTCATGGATGTTCTTATTTTAATGCAGAAATAGTAAAAAACTAGGGAAGCGATCAATGTCTTGGTTTGGAACTGACCGACGTGTGTCGCAGATTGACGACCGAGTCGGTTCCTCAGTCGTACGAAACGAGTGTAGAACAAGGAATATGTATCTAATTTCTTATTTGCTGCAGAACCAAGGTACGTGTGTTACCTGTCATTGTTATTCTCAACATTGCTCTGTTACTTCACTGACAGCAATCCAGAATTGAAAATCACTTTTCACGAGAAAATTGGAGGTTTTAGCACAAAGTAGTCAGCATGAAAGCACCCTTGTGACTTGTTCCCATGGCCATCAACACTCAACTGGGAAAAATTTAGCCACAAGCAGTTCACGACCGATGACTTGGAGAGTGATAGAGTTAATTAGTCTTTATTTATTTGTTTGTCTATTTTCGTTCTCCCCGACTTGGATACATATTATATTTTACTTAATTTATGATGGAACGCACCTTAAAGCATGTGTTCTTTTTTGGAATGTTGAAAATGTGCATGGTTGATGGTTTTCATTTTTATTTTTTCATAAAAAGTTTTTTTGCTTAGAGCTGTAATCTTTTTATATTTCATAAATCGATTTCTTCATCATTTTTAATTTACCGCTTTATTCAACTATTAAAATCACTACACAACAACGTGTTTTAGTACAATTTGAATGTAGTATTGCCCTTCACCCCTTGAAGGCCGTCAAGTTTCAATTCATCCTTGATTAAATTAGCTTGTAGGTGTTGTAAATTTTCATTTCCTAAATGTTTGTTTGAAGGTAACCTTCTAGCAACATCCTCAAAAATCTCTTTCAATAAGTGTCCCAACCTTAGCTTGTCCTTTGTAATTTGTAATCTTATCATTTGTTTCATGGGATGTAAACCTACAATGTGTTTTTACATGTAAACTTATTTGGTTCTAGTCTTGATTGTTTTTTACAAAAATACTTTACATTGTAAGTGAATAGAAACAATAGTACTAGTAACTACATTTGCTGCATTAAAGTACATTATTTTCAATATTGCCACATTTTTAAATAGGTTTTGCTATTAGGTGAAATTATTGGATAAACATAGGTTTATATGAATGTTCCAATTTTTAAGTCAAGTTTTGCAACCAATTCTACATTTTAAATCATATGTTGATAATTAAAGTACAATTTGAATACATCTACGACTTTAGAATCAACACAGAATATGGAATAAAAGAAAGGAAAAAACATTAATAAAAAAAATTAGTATCTCTTTCTGTGGTGACAGATTGTGGCATGTGATGTAAATGTATGTTGCAATTACACTGAACATTCTTACGTAAAATTCATTCCACAATATCAAAACAATATGATAAAATTTTATCAAATTGTCCTATATGACATCTTTAATAATTAATACCCTTTACTTAATCTTTTCATTATATGTATCTTCATATCATTTTAGAAAAAATGGAATTCTGAGCTAGATATTGCATTTTATAACTATTTTATGCTTATATCTCATTTAAATTATACATAAATATAATACATTACAAAGCTATAGCATGTTAAAAATAATCAAAGAATATATCAAAAAAAAATTGCATAAGGAAACACTCTAACATTCACGATAATATGCACAATAATAATAATAATAATAATAATGTTTAAAAATTTTGTATACATCAACAGTAATTTTCTATTATTATATTATCATCATCATAACAAAATATAACGTATTTTAATTTCTTTAAAGATCAAATGGTTTCAGAGGCTTTTAATTGTAAATTACTCATTATATTGAAGAATTTGAAGACCATTCTAAACTTTTTGTAGTTTTATCTATTTTACCCAATACACAACCTCTCTCTCTCTCTCTCGATATATATATATATATATATATACATACATATACAAATTCATACACATAAAAATAACTTATTTCATTTTTATGTATTCTTCATATGCCTTGTGAATTTTAAAAAAATTGCAATCCATTTCAATGTAACTCATGTACAGTTTTTTGTAGTTCTTTTTCTTTTTTTCTTTTTTCAGAACTAAAAACCTTCATATTTGATACAAATGAATTATTTTGCAAACTTACTGAAAAAGTATAAGTTTATTTTTTTCGTGTATTTATTTAGAAATAACTTCACATGTGCTTTGTACTTGAGGGCTTTGATTAAAAAAAATGATTTTGAATAATACATCAGACAAGATTTCAAATTTTAGTTCTTAAAGTTTTTCCTACAGATTAAAATGTAAGTTATATTCAATGCTAAGTAAGTTTCGTTTTCTTTGATTGATCTATATATTTCACACTGTTGCTTTATTCTTTCCATCTTGAAAACTTCTAATTAATGAAGTCGTCACTTGCCACCAATTAATGAAGCAATGCTGCATCATTTTACACAATGACTTGATGCTATGTATTTTATTTTATTGATTAACATAATTGATAGGTTGTCAATAAAATCTAAAATTAGTTTTCAATGCAGTATTGTTATAATTACGTTTTTTTCAATTCTGATATGATACTTAAAGTGCTTTTTTCACAACACAAGATTCTTTTAACTGCTATCCAATGAATTCATATCTCTAACTATCTATATTTTGATTCACCACAATCACAAACTAGTTAATATGAAGTTGTGTGCCTATCATCATCAACATATCCAATTCAATTGTCACCTCGCATGACATATCTTTTAAAAATTTGTATCTTCTTGTTGTCCTCTTTGTGTAAATAATTTAACTTCTTATGATATAAATTTGATGAAATACTTAGAGCCTTCCATCCATTCATACTACAATGGTTTAGGGTTTTCTTTTCAATACATCCATTGGTTGATATGATGATGCAACAATATCTATCTTTCAAAAGATTTATGGGTCATCTACATAAACAATCACCATTTGTGTGTTTATTTAATATATAGTAATTTACATGCTATAATCTAAATCTTCATAAAAATAATTGAAAACAAAACTAAGTCAATTTTTTGATGCCATGTTCTTAAAGAGTATTCCGTTGGTTCAATCATTTATTACCTTTTGCACTAGACTTTTTGGATGGTCCAAGTTATCATTTCAAAATTATGATTTTAGCATATTTGTGGTGGAGTTTTTAAAGAAAATGTGGTTTAAATTCCAATATGAAATGGTGGTGAACTTAGAACCTATTTGGAGTCAATTCTAAACAAATAGAAACAATTGCAAGCGTCATTAAGCTACAAATGTTGGCTTGTAATGTACCTCATTATTGAGCATGTTTTCATTTCATTTCAAACATCCATTTGCTTCTGCAACAAAATATATATATATATATATATATACCTATATACTGCTCATAAGTTTTTTGCAACAGCTCTCAATTATATGCATTGTTCTCCTTTACTTCTATATATATATATATATATATACATACATATACACAAAATGTATATGTTTGTAGATGTGCATATATACATATATATATATATATATTCTCAATATTGTAATAAGGTTTGTGCATCCATTTGTAGGAGTTCACCTTAAACTTTTATTTTTTATTTTTTATCACAAGATTTTTTCAAGGGTATGCTACTAGTTGTTGACTGTAGTAGAAGTATTGGGATTATGCTCTGACACCAAATTATTAACTCAATTTATATTCAGCCTGTCTCCTGGCAAAAATATATATATTAGAAATTTAAGGGGCAAGCAACAGTGAACATGTACACCACATTGGGTTTTCAAGCTTTAAACAACAGAACAGCCCACATGCTCAAACTTCGATCACTTACCATAGAAAAGAAAAGGAAAAGAAAGATACCAAATGAGCATCCAGAACACAGATTGATACTGAATTTGCTTTCATTATATTAATTTCATATAAAAGTTGTTTGCAGGGCACTATTACCCTCCGAGGCTTTAAATATAAATAAATTTTAGATACTTGGTTCACTTCATACACAAAGGCTGTTTAAGGGATGTGCAGCCCAAGTAGTTGAAAGTTGAAAAAGTCCAAGAGAAGAAATGAGAGGTCACCCATGTTCCCATGTTCCCCATCACGATCTACTGCTTGTGCAAGACAAGCAGCTTCTACTATCACACACAAATACAGCAGAATAAAAACTTCAACCAGCACAACCATAAAATAAAATAAAATAAAATAACTGCCAAAAGCAATTCCGTATTCACACACTGTCAATAAGAAATGAGATCTCTCTCTCTCTCTCTCTCTCGCTATATATATATATATATATATAAAAATATATAATTCTGATATGATATAAGTTAATCCAAGCTGAAGCAGCAGATTATTGATGGCTTGAGGGAGTGCTACAGCTACTACAACCTTTACCCGGGACTGTTTGCTTAATGCCCGGGACTGTTTGCTGAATGCCCCTCTATGACAGTGTTGTTGCTTTGCATCCTTCAATAGCCTCTCTCCACTTAGACTGCTGCTCTAGAGTTCATAATTTGATGAAAATGAAAAAAACAAAACAAAACAAAAACTAAATCTAAAGAGTGAAGGAGCTTCAGAAGGGGGTACAACAACAGTAAGGGAGCCATGTCTCATGGGCTTCTCATGACGACGGCGATGACGACATGTCGAAGAGGAGAGAAGGAGGAGGACCTCTCCTCTCCCAACCACGCCACTCCCTCGTTCACTCGTTCATGCCCTATATATTACTCCTCATGCTCACGTTCTCATGTGAATCAGAGAGTGCGTGAGTGAGTGAGTGAGTGAGTCTATTGTGAGTGAGTGAGAGTGAAGTGAAGTGACTGAAGGGAGTGCTCCCACAATATTTATATATATATTTAGCTTTCTGTGTGAGTGGATGGATGGCTGGGTTTTTATTATTAGTGTGAATTTGTTTAGCCCAACTTCATCACAGTGGCTGCAGTCTGTGATTGTTGAAAGTCTCGGAGTATGAAGCCTTTCTCGTGGGTCTAGTGAAAAGAAAAAGGGGTGTGTCTCGAGTGTGTCGTGTCGCTTTTGGGTTTTGTCGCTGCATGTTGTTGTTACTGCTGCGGAGTTGGAGGCATTGTTTAGGGTCTGACCCCTTTCGGACTTGTTTCGTGTGACGCCCGCTCGTGGGATCCTCCTCCTGGGTGCGTGTGTGGATGTCTATGCGGCGAGAGTGTCTGCTTTTGTGTTGAAAAAGTGTGAATTGGGGCGGGGTGTGCGACGAGGAGTTGGGGCGTTGTAGAGCTAAGTGGAAGTGGAAGAAAGGGGAGGGGGGTGGAACGTAGGTTGATTGATAGAATATCTTTTGAACGTCTTCGGAAGGTGGACGGTTTGGGAAGTCTTGAAAGATGATGTTACAGAAGATGGCGTCGATTGACGCCCAGATGCGGCTGCTCGTGCCAAAACGAGTGTCTGAAGACGACAAACTAATCGAGTACGATGCGCTTCTGCTCGATCGGTTCCTTGACATCCTCGAGGAGCTTCACGGGAAAGAGCTGAAGGATAAGGTGAGCATTCGTAATTTATGTCCACCTTGCCCGATTGCTCCATTAGCAATGCGATTTCGTTTGTGAGGTTCCAAAGTGCATAAGCAGGCACGCTGCAGATCATCAGCTTTTCCACGAATCATGTGGACGTAGTCTAAACCGTGTTTTCTTTTGCTGGTTTACTGAGCCTCTGTTAGATCCGTGAAGGATTGGGTGTGGGTTTTGTAACTTGAAAGACTTGCGAGGTCATCGGTGTGGGAGAGGGAATGCAGTCGAGGTAGCTGGATCCTGTTAGTGCTCCTCCTTGATTCTGTAAACAAGATTCTTTTGTGGGTTCATGTGGGCTGCGATCGTGAGATGCACCCGAAGGTCAGTAACTCGGTCCTCACTGTGTGCTCACCCTCACTGCAGGTCCAGGATTTGTACGAGTTGTCCGGGTTGTACTCCAAGACGGATGGTGCAGGGGACGTACAGAAGCTCCAGCAGCTTGCAGACGTGCTGAATAACCTAGACCCTGGAGATGACATTGTTGTAGCAAGTTCATTTTCACACATGCTTAATCTCGGAAATTTAGCCGAAGAGGTTCAAATTGCTCTGCGACGACGTGTTTCGAATGCTAAGAAAGGTGACATCGGAGATGAAAACAGCGCCTTGACAGAGTCGGATATGGAGGAGACATTGCATCGCCTTGTAAAACAACTTAAAAAATCACCCCAGGAACTTTTCGAGGCACTGAAGGAGCAGACTGTGGATCTTGTTTTCACAGCACATCCCACTCAAGCTGTTCGCCGGTCTCTTCTTCAGAAGCATTCTCGGTACGATTTTCGAGTTCTGCATGCAGTGAATTTTGTTGTGCAGCTTTTGGTGGTAACCCTGGGGGCCATGTCTAGGTGCATATCGTCTCATTTCTCTTAAATGGTGCTAGACATAGTGGTCGATGAGCTTGTAAGTGTGAACATGGAGTCTGTTTTCACAGGTGCATACCTCTATGCATGATTGCCAGTTACTCAGTAATGCTTCTAAGTTCTTGATTTTTGCAGAATTCGAAACTGCCTGTCACAAATGTATCAGAAGGACATTACAGCAGACGAGAAAAAGGAGTGGGACGAAGCTCTACAACGAGAGGTGTGCTAAAAACAGCCTTCGTTGACTTGGTAGTCATTGCAAGTCTCTTGGTTTGAAGTGGCGAAGTTACTAACAGTCATTGTCTTGGACAGATTCAAGCTGCCTTCCGCACTGACGAGATTAGGCGATCACAACCCACACCCCAGGATGAGATGCGTGCTGGCATGAGTTATTTTCACGAAACTATATGGAACGGTCTTCCCAAGTTCTTGCGTCGTGTTGACACCGCATTGAAGTCGATTGGGGTGAAGGAGCGTCTTCCACACAATGTCAAACTCATTCATTTTTCATCTTGGATGGGTGGTGATCGTGACGGTAAGTCTTGTCCCTTGCACCGGACAAGGATTTTGGTGCGCTATTAGTATGTGTAATACTCGAGTTTAAGAAGAGCATCTTTTGATTGCTCATGTTTTACAATCTATTCCCAAATCTATGATGTAGGATGGCGACGCGACATATGTAGTCTTACCATATGGTTGACACTACATCGAGGATAAGTTTGACGTTTCCTTTGGTCAGTGGTGTCTCTTGAACGCGGATCTTTACACATGATTGAGAGCTCCCGCTCCGGTCGATTTTCTGACATATATTCAGTAGATTGATATCAAGTAAGTTGTGAAGATAGTTCAAGGGTGTGTGTGTTTAGATAGGTGCTGTAGTAACGCCTCTAAACCACCACATATGTTGGAATCGACCTTTTGGAATGTCCTATTTGTGGAAACATATTCATCGCTGTAAGTTGTGGTGGGACCATGTCGGTCCAGAAACTGGAGATATGCATGCTAATATGTTTTTGATTCTCCTATCCTTATTCTAGATGGATCTGCTTCGTAGTCCTTCAGATGCTTGAAAAATTGGATATTCCATTTACTTTTGAAGTTTACTCTTTGAATCAGGCAACCCACGCGTGACGCCGGAGGTCACTAGAGATGTGTGTTTGTTGGCCCGACTGATGGCAGCTAACCTTTATTTCGCCCAGATTGAAGATCTCATGTTTGAGGTTTGGAACTTTCTACTGCCGGGATCTTCATGTGCGATTTCATTTCATTCACTTTTGAGGCAATGTTCCGAAGGAAATGTGTCACATAGCGGAAAACCCTCACATGAATTAATTCCCCGATCTGAATGAAAGTCGAATTTTGATGAATTTTATCAACATATCACGTATTCTACGTTTAGGTTGAACGACTGAACTTGTGAATTTAACTGTGTTCTTTTTCCAGCTGTCAATGTGGCGGTGTAGTGATGAGCTCAGAGAAAGGGTGTCGAAGATCGAATCCCTGCATCGCAAGGAAGCAAAGCACTACATTGGTAACCCTCTCATCTGAAAATTACTCTTGCGAATTGTTTCAGTAATATGAGTTGCTGGGGCAGTGTTGAGCTCAAACTCTATTACGACTCAGGCATTGGGTTTGATGTGAATCAGAATTCTGGAAGCATATTCCTCCCAATGAGCCATTCCGTGTGTTACTGGGTGACATGCGTGACAAGTTATACAGCACGCGTGAACGCATGCGGCAATTGTTGCAGATGAATGGGAAGAGTGACATTCCTGTAGAAGAAACTTACACAGATGCCTCACAGGTAACTGGAAACACTTTTTGAGAAGCTTTCATGGAAATAGTTCGATCGAACTTCAAAGTGTATTGAGAAATTTCTTGTAATTCATGGGGCACAAAAATTTGCTTAAGTTGGCTGTCAGTTGGAACATACTTTTACTTTTCTTCGCCCTCATATTACAGATTTTGGAGCCATTGGAGCTTTGTCACAGGTCGCTTTGTGAGACTGGAGACAAGCCCATTGCAGATGGAAGTCTTTTGGATTTCATGCGTCAGGTATCATGTTTTGGTTTGAGCCTGGTGAGGCTAGACATTCGGCAGGAATCTGATCGTCACACTGACGCCATCGATGCCATCACCAATTACCTTGGTATTGGCTCGTACCGCAATTGGTCTGAAGAAGAACGTCAGGTATAATTCTCTTCTAAGGACATGTTATGTAGAGTAGGACTGAATGTCATGCAGAGTTTGGAGTGCGCTTGATACAGAGAATCATCAATGATTTCATTTGGTCTTGTGTTGATTCCTTACGAACCAGATGAGGATTTCTTAACCGCAACTTCGGTTCTAATATATTCTATTTTTAAAATATGGCTACTTGTTTGTCCTCTTTAAAGTGTCCAATGCCTGGTGAATTTACAGGAATGGCTTCTCTCAGAACTTCGTGGGAAGCGTCCTCTGTTTGGATCTGATTTACCAGTGACGGATGAAGTCAAGGACGTTTTGGACACTTTGAAAGTCGTCGCTGAGCTACCTCCAGATTGCTTTGGTGCTTATGTCATTTCCATGGCAACAGCTCCTTCAGATGTATTGGCGGTGGAGCTACTGCAGCGCGAAAGCCGAATTAAGCAGCCACTGCGAGTGGTGCCCTTGTTCGAGAAGCTCGCCGACTTAGAAGCAGCCCCCGCGGCCCTTTCACGACTCTTTTCCATTGACTGGTATCTGAACCACATCAATGGGAAGCAAGAGGTAAAGTTAAATAATCCTTGTGCGGCCTTTCATATTCAAAGATATTCACATTTCCTGATACAAATGAAATTTTTACTCAATCCAAAGCTCATTTCATTTTTGTTCCAGGTCATGATAGGATACTCGGATTCGGGAAAAGATGCAGGACGGCTGTCAGCAGCGTGGCAAATGTTTAAAGCGCAGGAGGACTTGGTGAAAGTTGCTAAGCAGTATGACGTTCGTCTCACCATGTTCCATGGACGAGGGGGCACGGTAGGTAGGGGTGGAGGCCCAACACATCTTGCCATTTTATCACAGCCCCCGGACACAATTAACGGATCGCTGCGAGTGACGATCCAAGGAGAAGTTATTGAACAATCTTTTGGAGAGGAGCACCTGTGTTTCAGAACATTGCAGCGCTTTACAGCAGCTACACTGGAACATGGAATGCACCCTCCAATCGCCCCAAAACCCGAATGGAGACAGCTCATGGATGTCATGGCAGTGGCATCCACAAACGAGTACCGCTCCATCGTATTTCAGAATCCAAGCTTTGTGGAATATTTCCGCGCGGTGAGTACGTGAGGGTGTGTAGTGTCTGCAGTATAACGAGTCTACAACTGACATTTCTCCGCTGCTATTTATCGACGTCCCTTTCGGATTCCCAACGTGTTTTTGGATGCAAATTATTGGGGCTAATAATTGTTTGGCTTGGGGGTTGAACAGGCGACACCAGAGCTCGAATACGGCCGCATGAACATTGGAAGTCGTCCCTCCAAACGCAAACCTAGCGGAGGCATCGAGTCTCTACGAGCCATTCCCTGGATTTTTGCATGGACGCAGACACGCTTCCATCTGCCTGTCTGGCTGGGCCTTGGATCAGCTCTGAGAGACGCACTCCGGACTGACCCCAGGAATATTGCTACTCTTCGTCGGATGTACAACCAGTGGCCGTTTTTCCGTGTAACTATCGATTTAGTCGAGATGGTGTTTGCAAAGGGTGATCCTCGTATAGCCGCCTTGTATGATGCTTTGCTTGTGTCAGATGAGCTGAAGCCTTTGGGAGAGGAACTGAGACGCAAGTACAGCGAGACGAGAGATCTCCTCCTGAAGGTAGAATTATTTCATTTGCAATGGATTTGTACCACTTTTTCAAACTTGGCTAGCTTTGAGAGCTATTCTTCGCTCAGTAGATTATGGACAATTTAGAGCTGACGTTGCAATCCTCAAAACGTAAATTGCGCAGATCACATTTCACGATGAGATCTTACAAGGAAACCCCTCGCTGAAACAACGTCTACGACTTCGAGAACCCTATATCACGGCTCTTAACGTGCAGCAGGCATTAGTGCTGAAGAAGATGCGTGATCAGAACTCTCAGTTCTGTTCACAACAAAACGGTAGCAAGGACCAATCCGACGTGCCGACAACACCCAGGCGTGCTGCAGAGCTGGTAAAACTGAACCCCACAACTGAATTCGCACCTGGGCTCGAGGATACTCTAATTCTCACCATGAAGGGTATCGCGGCCGGCATTCAAAATACAGGATAGAGGGTACTCATCACCTCTTTCAGTTCCTTACGGTTGACCTTTCATGCCTTATGTCGTGCATCTTCTATTGCTTTGTCCTCCCCCCCCCCCCCCCCTCCCCCCCTGGAGTTAAAACAATAATCTGTGAACCCTGCCCGTGGTGCAGGTAGATGAGAAAGACCTCAACTTCCGCATCTGTAAGCTGAAATCAATACCGAGATCCATCAACGAGGTGTCGTCTTTGGGACATTGTTTTTATCACTCAAAAGTGCTCGAGGCTGCCAACCAATCGTCAATACGTATAAAGCTGCCATTTTTGCGCAATACCAACATCATATAGACTGATGGGTGTGGTGCAGGGGATGGAGACTGTTTTGGCTGGCCGGGTCTTCTTACCTATCCCTGTACCCAACACACAATCACAATATCTACTTAAACATGGCTGGTTTAGCTTGTGCACTGGTACATTATAAGTCGATGGTGGCTATGGCTTCCTCACTAGTGCCATATTCCTTCAAATGCACAGACAATGTGCACGGCGAAAGAATCTTCAGCAAAGCTGATCTACTAGGTCTAAATAATCTGCCACTATCCTCCTTCAACACACAGAGTTCTGATCTCGTACCTCGTTGTGGTTTTTGAATGAAAAGTTTGTGCTTGTTTCTCCATCATGCGTAATCAGAATATTTAGTGCTGGGTGTTAGATGTACTTTGTATAACCACTTCAGGTTTAAAAGTGCCTTCACCCAAACATACTTGGAAAAAGACATGTGAGTGTGAGTTAGTAGTGATCTTTAAACAAACGTCAATGGTGAGACACAAATCAGAAAACATATCTACACTATCTTTTACTTACTATTTTATGTGGACTTTAACTGGGTTTCTTTTCTTCTTTCTTTAGCCAGTTATAATTGACTAGTCGTATATCTCCTGAATTATTGGAAATGTGAAAATTCGACACATTTCACAAAAACTAGGCAATCGAATTTTCCAAGATAAAAAATTAGAAGTAAATCTTTTGAGGTTTTCTCTTGTCAACGTTTCATTAAAAAAAATTACATTTTGGAATCTATGATGTGAAATAATGACAATAACAATTTTTAAAAATTAACCAAATTTTCTTTGAATGGATACATAACCCATGGATGTCAGGAGAAAAGCATTGAAAAGAAGTTCATTACAATTGAAAAGTGGATTATAACCATGAAAAGTGAAATAGAATATTAATTGAATAGTTATGTTATTCATACTAACATGTCGACATAAACTATGTTTTATTTTATCGTGAAATAGATTTTAGTGGTGACAAAGTAGTCATATAAAGAGCTTCTGATCTGTAGTGAAACATTGTGTATGTAAACATGGTTAAATACACATGATTATATACAGTCCTAACTGTATTTTTAATTTTTAGTTTTAGTTTTTTTTTTTTTTTTTTTTCTTGATTAGTTTTTCAAAGCGTAATATTTCTTGGAGTTTTTCAAGTGTATCAGGTTTTAAAGTAATGACTTTGAGATTGGGATTTGATGATGGTAAAAAATTCCTTGAATGTGGTTGTAAATTGAAAAATTTTCAAATGATTATTGATCTTGAAAATTGCATGTATGATTATGTAAAAAAGGCAAGACATTTTATTTGCTTCTCTTGTAAAGGATGTTTTTTTTCAAAATAGACTCTCATAGATGTTCATATGCAACAAAGTATGAGTAACAATCTTATTGTGTGTCCATGCAAATGATTGTTGCCTTGAATCTTAATTTATTAATTATATTCCTTAATTCAAAATCCTACCTTTTAACTCTAAATTTTAATCTGTAAATCTTTAATCATGCATCATAAATCCCAATTCTAAATCCTACAGTCCAACACAAATCATATTTGGAATTTAAACTTAAACCTTGAGAAGGTGGAATGGACCCAACTCTATAGCAATTTACAAGGATGTTGATTCAATTGATTTTTAAAGTCAACAATATAAAAACAAGTTTTTTTTTTTTTTTTTTTTTTTTTTTGCATATTAAAAAAAGAAATTTATGGATAATTTAATTCGAACATTACATAGCAACATAGAGGAATTTGTGTTGCCATTTTTACAATTTTTGTGGCAATTATATTGCACTGTCATCAATGTCTTCACCACATTTCCTTATAGCTACAATATAAATTGCTGATCAAAAAATAAATAAAATAAAAATAACATAAAATAAAGACATATACATATAGTAAATAATATATTGTAGAACTTTGGGAACATTAATGAATTATAAAATCTTCATTAGACATTGGATTGATGACAATAATTTATGAATAAAATAAAATAATAAATAACTAAATAACAACAACACCTTATACAATAAAGTTAGAGATTCCTATTAATGTGCAAGTTAGTTTCGATTTTTAATTAGGCACTAACATTGACACCATTGCTCCAAAATTCCTTAGATGCAAGCATTTGCATTATTGTCTATTATAATCAATTATAATGAATTACAATGTAAGCAATATATTCAAGAACCAAACAAACATATTTCATTACTTCATAATAAAAGTTAAATAATGAAATAAATAAATAATTAAACCACACATATGTGAAAATAAATAAATAAATAAATAAATCCTCCATTATATTTCAAATTTCAAATTTATTGCAGATATATTAGTAGACAAAAAAATCATTTTTTTATATTAATTCTTTGTTTCGATAGGAATAAATTGTATTGCACCTCAATAGTATTGTTTTATGGAAGGATTCATACTCCATGTTATATATATATATATATATATATATGATTTGACTTATTTACTTTTTAAAGTAATATATTATTTATTTTTATAGAATCCAACCATAGTATCTTTTTTAATAGTTTTAATAATTTATTGAAATTTGGCAGTGTAAATATTTACAATCATATTATAAACTGTGCAATCCAAATTAAAAATCATAATCAATTCTTAAGCTATATTATTTATTTATTAGTTACAACAGTATAAATTCAAGTATACTTGTAAAATGTAAATTCATTAAGAGAATCATACTTAGTATAAAGTTGCACAATTTTGATTTCGCTTGATAAATATTGTCATTTGAAGTTACTTTTGGTTTTTATAATTTCTTGTTATGTCATCATAACTAGTTATTTTTATATTTTTTTGTAAATTTTGATTATTTTTTAGTTTTTAAAGTGAAAATATATACATATATATATATATATATATATATATGTATGTATAGAATACGTTCAAAACTTAAAATACATATTTTTTATAAATAAAAAATATTATTTTTTCCAAATTTATAAAATTTTACTTCCTTATTAATTCAGAACATTAGACAATTTACAAAAATAACTAGTTGAATATGTGCTATGATCACAAAAAATAATTCAATGGGTTCAACTTGGAGGAGGCATGATGCTCAATCAACTCTCTACAAATTCACAAATTATATAGAGAACTGTCCAATGCATTCACTTGAATGTGTGCAATGAAGTCCAACATTAAGAAATTCAGAAGGATCTAAAAGAAGGCAATATTTTGAGGTCTATTGACCATCCCAATATTTTGGTTTTTGTTGACATTGAATATGTTGTTTTGAACCCTTCATTACTCCTCTTTAAAAAATAAAATAAAAAACGTCAACATGTGAATAATGTTGTGAAAGGATGCTACAAAAAAACCAAGACTAATATGTTAAGATACAAACTTGTGCTATGGTAGAATATTGCACAATTGCTCAAGTTCTAGTATAGCTTAAGATGCAAGTCCATTCTTGAGGTTGTTGGAGATATGTCCTAGAAAAAAACGACAACACTCACTACTCTCAAACAGTCATTGACTATTCAAAAAGTTGTCCTTTGACATTGGGCAACTTTAAAAAAAATATTGCAAGCACTCTCTTCTACCAAAGCTCAATTGCACCATATTGTATACCGACTTGGTACAATTGAATGGATGGTAGCAAAAGTACCTTGATGTTGAAAGGACCAAAAAAATTGTTATTTCAATATGAAAATAAATAAATAAATAAATTTCAATCTTTAGAATAATACCTATTAAGAAATGACTTTTCTTTCCTACATTTGTTGCACATACATGCCAAGTGCAAGCCAATGACTTGGAACTTCAATGCACAAGATATGTTGAAGATTACAATTTACAATTTAATTATAGCTTTAGAAATCTTTAGGTTCTAAAAGAAGTTGCAATCATCTTTTGAGCAAGCTCTAAGGTGAGAACATCTTAGAACTTAGTCTAAGATTGGTTTTGTTAAGGCCTTGTGAATTGGCAAGTTAAGTTTTAATGAATATAATGATGATTGATAAATTTAGCCAATCAAAAGGCCAATTTGTCTTCTTAGTTTATCCCATTGATTTTTACCCCCTTGATGTGTTTTATAATAGAAATGAAAATAAAAACTTGAATATGAAAAATATTATTGTTGAATAATTGAGTTGGAGTTTAAATTATTACGAAATAAAAAATAATTTAGAAGGTATTTTTTCTTTTTGTAGAATTAGAATAAAAAGTAATAGCACAAGGTTTATTGTGCACATATTTCTATTCAAGCACATCCTAGTGCATGATTTGCACTCACTCCCAAGCTATAACCAATGTTTTAAGAAACAATACAAAGAACAATTCCAAAACAACTAACAAAGTAATTTTTGTACACAAGCAATTGCTTGCACAAATTTCATATTACTCATCATCCATCCTCAATTTCCATGCTTCATGGACCTTAGAGTTAATTAACCAATATTCAATTTCACAACCAATCAAACTACTTCTACACATTTGTTTTTCTAAATCTATTCCACATTTTGTAAAAAGTAGGTGTGAACAACCCTTGAGCAATGACTTGGATCTTCACGTAAAAAACCTCGAAACGTCTCAGAATGTGAACCGGACAGTCTCGAATTGAAAAAGTACTCCTAATTAAAAGTTTCAAAACTTCTTTATCGGTCATAGTTAAAGAAGAAGAGGAAATTCCGAGTGATGATGAGGATAGGGAGGGGGCAAATTCTTCAAAACGGGTGTGTGTGCTTGTAATAAATAGCTCCGGAGAAGGGAGGGACAGAGAGAGAGGCTATGGTGGTGGCATTGCCATTGGCATTGAAATTGTGCCACCATCCCGAACCCTTCCTTCCTTCCTTCATCGCCTTGTCACGTTTCATTGGTCATCGCAAGCCACACCGCCATTCAGCGGAACGAAGGAAACGAAAGGAAAGAGAGAGAGAGCGAGAGGGGGGGCTTTGCACGTTTTTCCATGGAATTGCCCGATGCAACAGGACGACGACGACGACACTTTCCGGCACAGATGCTCGGGCCATGAAGAAGCTCTCATTCGCTCTCAAGGGAGGACGGTAGCGGTGTCGTTGTATTAGTATTAGGCGTGTAGCGCTGCTGCTGGTTTTCTTTTTATTTCGATTTCGCATTGGCTGGTGTGAGCGAGCATAGAGGATCGGTGAGTTCGATGGTTGCGCGGAGGAAAGACGTTGGAGGAGCTTGAGTTAGGGTTCAGGAAGGGGACGACATGGGGACGAGTGTGCAGGTGACGCCTCTGAGCGGGGCGCACTCTGAGGCTCCTCTCTGCTACTTGCTGCAGGTGGACGGATTCAGGTTTCTGCTGGATTGCGGTTGGACTGATAGTTTCGACCTGTCGCTTTTGGAGCCTCTCAAGAGGTTTATCTCGAGCTCATAAACCCTAAGTTGTCTGTTTTGGAGCTGGCAGTTTTGGGGTACCTGGTTTCGCCTGGGGTTTCAGCATGCTCGATCCCCAGTGTTTGGGAATAATTTTCATTTTTTAGTTTGTTATTATTAGGTATTTTGTTGTTGTTGTTGTAGGCTGCCTTTTCAATCGGTTTTTTGTGAAGGTTTGGGAATGTTTGTGTCAAGTTGTGCAAGGTTTGGAAGCTGTGATGTGGTACGATTTTTAAAGAATTTGTATTCGCAATTAGCTCAATGCAAATCCCTTCCGAGTGGCCCATATGAAAGGAATGTTTACTTATGAACATAAGATTGGAAACAATGTGGGTTGTAAATTAGCAGCATCGCCTTTTGAATATTGTATTTGAAGGTACTGGAAGGAGTGATTACATTGTTGTGAGTAGAGACTTTCTGTGAATTGACTCATATTTTGAATCATAACGATCGAAATTGTTGAGTCGATGACGTCTACCCGATTGTGTCATATTCAAGCTGTGTCTCTGATAATATTGGTCCTATGCGTATGGGATACATCTACCACTCTGTGTACTTTATTAAGTTAACAATCTAGGTGTTAGCTGCTGAAAAAGTTAAAGGTCTATTTGGTGATTAGACGTATGGACTAACACAACGATGTACGTTTGCCTTTCGCAGTGTGGCCCCAACAATCGATGCTGTTCTTTTATCTTATCCGGACACCATTCATCTGGGCGCATTTACCTATGCCTTTGCCAAGCTCGGGCTGCAAGCCACTATGTATTGTACGTTGCCGGTGCACCACATGGGACAAATGTATATGTATGACCACGTCCTTTCTCGGAAGGTATAGACTTTAGAAAACTATCCTGAAATTTGCTATTTAACAAGCATCAAAATTCGCTTTTACATTTTTATGTTATGGCTTTTGTAAATTTTACTTTGGTACACTTTAGAATTATATCATTAAAAACATTTCTTGATTTTGTTATCTGTTCTCATGTTGGAAAATCGGTTCCATTGTTTTGGAAGTTTGTTTTTCATCAACTGGTTTTGAGATGCATATCTCTTCTCACAGGGGATGTGTTATTCCTATCTGCGCTGGTATTCCTAATGTCAGGTGGCATTCTGTGCAGGCTGTCTCCAATTTTGATTTATTCACCCTCGATGATGTGGACACTTCTTTTGCGAACTCGGTTCAGCTCAAATATCAACAGCACTATCAGTTGCAAGGTACTTTGATCGTTTTCATCGTTCTGGTTCTAACATCCCTCTTTAAAAGTGACGGTTGTGCCTTCTCTCATACACTGCGGTACAAGAAATAACCTTCATGTTTTCTTGTGCTAGTGTAGGCAAAGGGGAAGGGATGACAATCACTCCTTATGCAGCGGGCCATCTCTTGGGTGGGACTATCTGGAAAATTACGAAGGACACTGAAGAAATTATCTACGCTGTGGACTTTAATCACCGCAAAGAAAGGTATGCGTCTGTTACTAAAGTTGGATGTGTGGTTGATATGATCCATTCATAGGAATTCTTTTGCTGTTTAAATATGCTTTCGTCTGCATCTAATTTTGGTTCGCTGGTCTAATCTGCACCCTTCTTCCATCAGTTTTTGTGTGAAAAAGTGTTCACATATAGCAACTACTAACCAAAGTCCTATGGTCTACAGGCACCTAAACAAGACCGTTTTGGAGAACTTTGTGAGACCAGCAGTGCTCATTACTGATGCATACAACGCCTTGAATAACCAACCTCCGCGGAAGCAGAGGGATCAAGAATTTATTGGTAAGTCTCTCATTCTGTCTGTTGATTGTAGTAGGCAGATTTTAGCAGACTGAATTTATGCTTTTCTGGTGTTTCTTTATACCAGTCAATGAAGGATATTATTTGAGTGTAACGAATTGTCGTCCCAATGCTTTGCAGATATGATACTTAAAGTGCTTCGAGCAGAGGGCAATGTTCTGTTGCCTGTTGAAACAGCAGGGCGTGTGCTTGAGCTCATCTTGCATTTAGAAAGTGTAAGCGCTAGAAAGCTCATTAAAATGGATCGAATATGTTTTAAACTCAGCCATCTATCTCCTGGTGTAACTTTTTATATATTTACCTACGCACTTGTTGCTCTTTGTAGGATCTCACTTATATGTTATGATTACATTTTTTGACTCGTACTCAATTTACCTGCTTTTGCGTTGAAAAACTGTGATCATTCAAAAAGATTGTACAAAGACTATTGTTAATGAGTGTGAGCAGCACAGCTGTTACGTCGCACTTTCTGGAGTTCTAATCAAACAGATAGTATGGATTGCGTTGCTTGTTCTCAATCCTTAATCGTTGTTACCTGCAGAACTGGGCGCATCAACGACTTAGCTATCCTGTTGCTCTTCTCACCAATGTGTCCTACAGTACTGTGGAGTTCGCTAAGAGTCTGTTAGAATGGATGAGTGATTCCATTGCCAGATCTTTCGGAAGCTCTCGGGAAAACTCATTTCTTCTTAAGTAAGCACGGCTACTTGCTGAATCTATTCAAATTTACGGCATATTCTGGTAAGGTAGCTCTCTATGAAAGGGGATTTATGGATTTTAGAAGTGTTCTGTACTCAGCATGCAGCTTGGGGGCGTTGAACCATCTACTAAAACTTCGCAATTCTTTTCACTTTCAGGTACCTCAAGTTGTGTCATGATCGAAAGGAGTTCGATGAACTACCTTCAGGTCCTAAGGTAAAACTTTAACATCTGCTCTTCAACCCCCAGATTCTTCATATTTGTAGAATTCAAAGCAATTATGTAACTTATATTTAACAGTTTGGTCATTTTGACACTATGGTCTGTCTTATGCAAGGTTGTTTTTGCTTCGATGGCCAGCTTGGAGGGTGGGTTTGCTCGTGACTTGTTCGTGGAATGGGCCACAGATTCTCGAAATCTTGTGCTTTTTACTGAACGTGGTCAGGTACACCTTCCTGCTAATTTCCTCAACATGCATGGACATAAATTTTGCAAGTTGCGGCTTCAGACGTATAGTTCTTCAATGTCAAGAATTCTGATTATATGCATCATGTAAAACTAGCCTCACATGGATGTCTTCGAAATGAATGCATGATTTATTAGGTACTAATCGGGTCTTGTGAACTTAGTGCAGATGGGAACACTTGCAAAGAAACTGCAAGCTGAACCACCCCCAAAGATAGTGAAAGTTACAATGAGCCAAAAGATTCCTCTGACTGGTGAAGAACTTCAAGCTTATGAATTAGAGCAAAGACTTAAAATGGCAACTGAAACAGAAGTCGATCTCGTGGAAGAAGTTGGCCCTAATTCACCTGAAGCTAAAGCTGTAACTGGCCCTCTTCCTCTAACTGTCGCGGAACCTGGTGGTGGTGTTCCATTGGGTGTTGAAGGTAAAGGATTGAAGCTGTGCCATTTTTGTATACCTTTGTTCATCATTAGTTCATGCTGTTTAAGGTACGGACGCTTGGCAATGGAAGTAGGGTGTCCTTTAAGTCGTGTATTTCGATCCATAAATTAGTATCTTTTTAGACATTAACTGTTGCGTCAGCATGAATTCAGTGCGTAGTTGACTTGCAATTACACGAGAGTTAACCTTAACAGTACGCTTTTTGCAGGTTCACTAGCCACGAATGAAATACCGTCACAACGTCAGATACTTATTGATGGTTTCACTGCATCAGACAAGACTGCGGGCCCGATGTTCCCCTTATACGAGAATCCAAGTGATTGGGATGAGTACGGAGAAGTCATCAACCCTGAAGATTACCGCGTTGAAGACACAGAAATGATGGACTATCAAAGTTCTCAACAGGTATATTTTAAATCTCTCTTGCAGCAGACTCTTATTTATAGCCGTATCAGGCTCTTATACTAGGTCAGTATGTGATAATACGGAATTTTTAGAGCATGAAAGAATCATACGCTGGACATTTACAGCCTATGGGTTTTGTTTGCATCTGGCCATAACATGCGCTCTCCAACTTCTACAGGCGCCTGTTGCTGACGTTGAAGACAACACAGATCAGGAGGCGGAAGCGATTCTTGCTGACAGGCCTTCGAAAGTTGTCGTTAAAGACTATACAGTGGGTTTTCATTTTCACTTTTACTTCCGTACTTGTCTTTATAATTGGACCATTTGTACAGCCAGCTCCTTGGGCCCCTATGCTTTCAATGCGAAGTCGGACGAGATAGTCACTGCGTAGTGTTAGGTCATTGCGTTGCGTTGAGTGTTGTTTCATGCTGAAGGAAAAGAACTCACACATGCTTGTTATTTGTTGTATTGTACTAAGATGCATATCATTTACTAAGACCAATAGTTTTGAGTGAGAACAACAGGTTTATGTGAAGTGTGCGCTGTACTACATGGACTTTGAGGGGCGCTCCGATGGCCGCTCCATAAAAAACATTCTGGCTCACGTTGCTCCTATCAAGCTTGTAAGATAACCGTATTCTTGTTGTCTGGGCTGATTCCTGACTTTTCTAGAGCGTGTTTTCCATGCCAAGGTGTTAGCATACAATGGCTTTGTTTCTTGTTTCGATCTGGCTGGAAATCCACGAGATGGATCGACATATAAAATTTATAGATTTCTCACTAATGATCATTATTTCATGAAGGTGCTTGTACATGGATCAGCAGAAGCCACAGAGCATTTGAGGCAGCATTGTGTGAAAAATGTGTGTCGAGATGTGTATGCCCCTCGCATTGGTGAAACTCAGGATGTCACTTCAGACCTGTGTGCATATAAGGTAAATGAGGTGCTCTTGATTATTGCTTTGTTACATTTATTTTCGAAACATTGCTTCAACCTTCAGCTGTTGATGATTGCAATGTCAAAATTTTTACTTCACACGTGAAGTTATGGAACCACGGGTCCTCGTATTTATTCTTACTTCGTGTTCGTCTGTACAGGTGCGTTTGACGGAGCGGTTAATGAGTTCTGTGTTATTCAGAAAGGTAAGAGAATTGTAGCTTTAGTCCAAATAATGCTAAGTTCGTGAGTTGATTTGACAAAGTATGAAATCGAACTGATTGAATGATTCATTGAAAAGAAAGTGATTGCTCTATGTCATGACAAAGATTTGGTTACACTTCCACCTCAACCCCATTAAATAATTTACATTGGTTCAACCTGATAGTGAGTTCGATCAGGTGCCACCCTAAGGAATTTTTATAACTTCTGATAATTGATTAGAGGCACTTTTGGGTGTTTATTCAGAAAACATTTAGTCTCTTGTGGAAAAGGGGAGGCTTCTACTATTCACTTATTGAACTGTTTTTGACCTGTATATTTTTGGTGCCAGTTGGGAGACTATGAGGTGGCGTGGATAGATGGAGAGATCGGGAGCCAAGAATCAGAGGGGATGCTTCCGCTGCTTCCATCTGAAACACCTCCACCCCACAAGTCGGTTTTTGTCGGTGATTTGCGCCTCGCAGATTTTAAGCAACTTCTGGCCACGAAAGGCATTCAGGTCAAGACTCTTTTATATTTTAGTTTTTTATAATGAGCAGGTGTCTGGGCAGGGGTTGCTGCACAGGAGTCATATCCTTCAGAGTTGTGACCTGATTGATTCATTTTTGTACAGGCCGAGTTCGCTGGTGGTGTACTTCGATGTGGTGACGCATTTGCAGTGAGGAGGGTAGGATATTGGCGACTCTTAATATACACTCATTGTTTTTGCCACGAGCTCCATGCGTAGTTTGTTTGCACTTGGACCATCGCAGTTTCTCGGTAGTTTTCAGACCAGAATATTACTGGAATACTATCGCCTTCACTACTCTAATTCTTTCCGTAGGTTGATGATCAAAATTGTAGATTTACTAAGAATAATGGATGGCCTCTTTGATGCAGAGTGGTGGAAGCCAGCAGTTGGTCATTGAGGGCCCTTTGTCAGAAGAATATTACAAATTACGGGATCTTTTGTATTCTCAGTTCTACATGCTATAATAGCTTCCATTTTATTGTGAAAGCTCTACAGCCTGCGTAAACCTGGAAGAGGAGGGGTGAAGGAGACGTCAGAATTGGCACCCGCACTTTAGAACCTTCACTGTCCTCTTACAGAGAAGAAAAGAGCCTTTTGTTACCATGTATGCATTACATTTAGTTGAAGTAGTAGTGTTGTACCAGACTCTCTTTCCTTCCACATGCAAAATCTCAAGAAAGATTATATTTGCAGGATACTTCGTACAAGGTGTTCTTTTTAAAGAGAGACAGCTCACATAGCTGCTGAATATTCTGTCGTTGTCGAAAGGAAGAAACGATGAGATTCTCCGGAAGACTTTCTTAACTGCAACTGCATAATAGATCGAAGATCATCTCACAAACTTTTCTGGGCTGGTGTGTAACGTTGACCGAGTATAAGTTGTCATACAATTTAACGATGTGTCGCCGATCTCTTACTACTACATCCATTGTGTGCCCTTCTAAATTTTTTTGTTTGCCTATGAAATCTGGCTTCGATTGTTTCCGTCATTTGGTTTGAAAAGTTCACTCCTGTAACTTATTTTGGTGTTCACTTCAATTTAAGAAGAGTCATTTGCAAATGTGAAGTAATATTCATGATTCTGGTACGGCTACTGAGGAACTCAGCAAATTCCATTCATGATCAGTCGAAACTGCATAAACCACTTGTCGGTAGGTATCTGTGCCAGTCAGAACCAGTTCATTACGAGCAGCAAAGCATACATAAATAGTTAATGAATAATAATAAATTAATCAAAGTTTAAACAAATTCTATTTCTTTTAAAAGGGAATATGAATTATTCCAATACGTGTTGGAACAAAATTTCACATGATAAACAACAAGGTTAGAATTTTGATCATGCACTTCATGAATATCAAAATGAAATTCAAAAAATGTGTTCTTTACTAGGTTGTTGCCATCATCATCATCATCATGTGTGTGTATATATATATATATATATAGATGTGTGTGTGTGTGGGTGAATACTATGCATGTTTTATCTTAATTTGTAAATTTAGTGTGAAAAAATCCATATTGATATTATTATTATTGTTATTATTGATATTGTAAGCACTTTCGTAAGTTACAAATTATTATTGTTGAACAAATGATTGGGTATATAGGTAAAATACACAATATAATTAGGAGTAAAATAACTATTATTTCATGATCACAATATACATTACAATTGGTGCTTTCCAGAAATCTTTATTTTTTTGCAGATTTGCAATCTTCTGATCTTGAAAAATTAAACTAACAATTATATATAATCAATAAAGATTAAAGAAAAAGAAAAAGAAAAAGAAAAATATGTGCTAAAAATTAAAAAGTTACAATTTAAAGGGTTGATTTTCGTTTCTTAGGTTTTGTTTTTGTTCATTTCTGGTTTGAGTTTTTTTTTTTTTTTTTTTTTTTTTTTTTATCGATACAATAAACCTATACCATTCAAAATATGACTATAGTTTTACCTCCGTTTAAGATTATCTGCACAGAAAGTGCGCATTAAGGATACGAGGAGGTGATTAACATGAACATCATTAAAGGTATATAATCATGTGCTAATACACAGTAAACCTGCAGGAATTGCAATTTTGAGAAAGAAGCTGCAGCAGGTGTGAAAGTGCTACCAGGAGTACAAGGCCTTCATGTGGATATTGATACCCGGAACGGTGATATCCGGGGTACTTGAGTATCGGCATTAAGGAGCGTTTAGCGATGACGTTGAGGTTATTTGCGACAAATCGCGAAAGCTACGGCTACGCACCAAGTGAAGCGTTTCATTCAATTTTATCATCATTTTGGGAATGGTGTTGCGATGCTTGTTCGCTGATTATCTCCAACCCTTTTCTGATTAGCATGTAAGAAAGTATTTTACTCTGTTGTGGATGATTGGAGCTTCGGAGAGGTAGAAGGTGGAGGACGTCCCGAAGAATGGAAGACGCTAAGGCTGCGTTATTGCGCGCAGCAGAGCAGGCCTTGGAACAGAAAAATTTTCCCGATGTGGTGAAGAACTGTAAGCAAATACTGAAGCAAGACCGCGCTAGCTATGGCGCATATGTCCTCTTGGCCAAGGCGCTGCAGGGTACCAATCACTTCCCGCAAGCCCTGGTTGCTCTTCGGAAGGCAGTGGAGCAGGATAAATCTGCTCTACCAGCATGGCTGGTAAGTGAAGTGCCTCTTATTTCTTTTTGTTTTGTACAGCTATAAATTCTTTTGTTGATCATCAGTAGCCGCTGAAATTTGGATTTAATTCATGCGGCATATTGCACTTGGATCTTTCTTAAAATATGTACACAATTCTGTTGCTTTGATGCTTAGAATCTGCACACAATGCCAGAATCCTTTGTATAATGTCATTTTCCACTTGCGCCTGATATCACCAGAAAGTTTCGCTAAGGTCTTAAGCTTTTGCATCATTGTGGAATTTAACAAATGTGCATGATTTCGTTCTCTTTGTAGTTGGATTCAGGGTATCGTCCAAGGGTTTTAGCTTAAAGAGTCCACAGATCGTTCTTACATGCGATTCTTGTCATTAGGTTCATGATTTGAGAAAATCTGATAGCATAAGCTATGTACTGGCAACGCAAAGCCAAATGAGACACATTGTCTTCTATATTTTTTCTAATGAAATAAGTTCAACTTCAAATAATTAAACAGCTGTATTCCTGAATTGCTGTGGAAGACTAACCATTTCTGTTTCACAGATGTATGTAATTAATCCAGTGTTGTCGTTGCAAGCATGAGCTCTCGTGGAGGATTTTATATGCTTTACATGTTTAGTCATGCAGTCAAGCCTAACTGAAGCGTTCATGGATCTGACATACTTTTGGTTTCTCCCTCGTAGGCATTCATGGATCTATATGAAGCAAGTGCAGAGTTTGACAAATTTCTAGAAGCTTGTAATACTGTGAGGCAAATCACGCAGACCTCTGGTGATATGAAGAATTTTGCATCCTGCACAGAGAGATTGGCCTCCACATATGTCAAAACTGGGCGTCACGAAGAAGCACTAGGTGTCTGGGAGGAGTTGTTGAAAGCAGACAAAGTTGTGACACCTGATACACAGTTAAGGGCGCTTTGTGGTGTTATTGATGCACAAGCTTCATTGTTTGATTTGGCAACGCAGCAGAAAAGAGAAAAGGATTCTGCTACTCTTTTAGGGGTTCACACTGTGGAATCCTTACGGGATGGCTTGGAGACAAACCTCCATATTGCACTCCAGAAGCCCGGTTTGCATGTTGAGCGCTATAATGCACTGCTACTGGACCTCCTTCTTCGAACAACGAGAGAATCTAGAGGTTGTTACCATCCCTGAAATCCACAAAATCTTGGAATGTTACTGTGTTTCTGATTTTTTTTTTTTTTTTTTTTTTTTTTTTTTTTTGCGCGTTTATTGTCATTATTTTGAGTCGTGGATGATGCAACCTGCACCATGGTTTTTAGCAGGTCTGTCTTTTCAAACTTCAAACTAGTTGGTGCACTGAGTCGATGTTATTGATAGTTTTTTACAAGTACGACGTATGTGCTAGTTGAATTTAGATAATCAGTTATTGTAAACCTAGCTTCTTTACTATTGCACTACGCGCAGGGAAAGATTCTCAACTTCGACTTCTACAGCAGGCTATTGCGACAACCTTATCATCCAACGTTCTTACTGGTTACGAAGTGGCTCTTGTCCTCTGTGAGGAAGACCATGCTGACTTTTTATTCCAAAACGTAAATAGTACGGAAAGTACGAAGAATGGAGTGCCTTACTTTAGATTAAGACTTGGATTGCGGTTTGCGCATCTTTATCCATCTCATGGGCTTGCCCTTGCTACAATCGCATCCTTGTCACAAAGCAGGTCTGAGTCCTCATGTTCTAAGTTTTTATTCTATTGGTTTGCAGTTTCAGGTTTCTAGTAGTTAATTTTTCGTGGGTCTAGTGCATAACGAAGTTATAAAGCGTTTTAGTATTATTGGGGTAATCACTGGTTTTTTGGCTGTTCAAATAGACATGGAACACCACCCTAAAAACTGATTGTTTCATTTTACAGTGCGGATCGCAAGAAGGTCTTGTGTGAGAAAGCACTTCGAGCTGATGACACATGTTTGATCGGGTGAGTGCTTGAGCATGCTATGAAGGTGTTTTAAAGGAGCTTAGTTGACGGTGTTTTTTTTGTGAGGGATTACGTTTCCCAATGACAATAATGTTGATGATAATATTGCAGATGGCAGTTATTAGCTGATCTGCAAATTGCAGAAGGTGCATATAGTGGTGCTGCGGACAGTATAAAGCGGGGATTCAAATCACTCGAGTTATGGAGAACAAAGTACGGGTTGCAGCTTTTTGCTAAAGAGCTGCGTCTACATCTTACAGAGGGGCATTTGCATTTGGAAACAAAAGCCTATGAAGAAGCAGAAAGGGTGTATCGATTTGTATTAGATGTGCGTTTCTTCTATCCAAGTGCCTCGAATATTTTATTATTTTAAAAGTATTCTAGAACGTACTCATGAAATAAGTAAATAATACGCATTCATGGAAAGCAATAAGTACTCATCAAACCTCATGGATCATCAGGGTGCAGACAAATTGGGTAACAGAGAAGCTGAAGAATTAGTTAAGGCTGCCCTTGAGGTACAATTTCTCCTCTCTGTTACTCTAGACTTGGTTTGCTGAGGTTTCTGAATCCTTGAGGGCTAGGGAGTCGGCAATCTGCACAGATGTGTTGCAATATATCGGTTGATTTGTTAATGGTGTAAAAACAAAATTAGTTCAGATCACATCTTGACGGCCGTATTCACAACAATTATTATAAATTTTACATATTGTTTTTAGTGTCTTTCATTCTAAATCCAATCATAACTCCGATTTAATCGATTTTCTCTTGAATTTTTTTGTGATGGATTTGAATGCGAAAGCCTCATCACTGTGAACTTTTGAATATTTTGCATGACTTTTGCTGTTGATTAATTCTTCCAGAGGACACTTTTTGAATATAAGAGCATCTTGTTCGGGATCGTTATTCTAACATGACGATGTTTATTTGCTTCAATCAGGGAAGAGTGAAGGTAGCAATAGCACAAGACGACTTAAAAGAGACCGAAGATAGATTAGAGGCTCTTTTGTCATTTGACAATACAAATCATTGGGCTTTAGCAGAGAAAGGCTGGTTGGACTTTAAGAAAGGCAATGCTGAGAATGCTGTGCATTTATTAGAGAAAGCCGTGGCGATCTGTGGGAACAACTCTACTTACCGCCGTCGTTTGGTATGTTAGTAGTCTGTTGAGGTTCTGGTTTTTCTGCTCATGTTATTTGATTATGAAAATTTAATGTAATTCAAGCAGAATGTTCATCAAAGTCTAATATGCTTATAAATTGCAGGGTTTGTCATACTGGGAAACAGGTGAGCAATCTGGTAAAGAACGAGCAGTTGCACAATTGGTGGAAGCTGCGAGGTTGGATCCGAAGGAGGCAGGTGTTTTCCGTTACCTTGGACACTATTATTATCAAATAGCTGGTGATATGCGGCGAGCCGCCCGATCTTACCAGAAGGCAATCAATCTTGATCCTGAAGATTTGGAGGCAGGGGTGAGGTCTCAATTTCCATGGTAGTTTACGGACAAAACTGCTCAGCAATGATTAAGTTGATTGCTCTTGCTTACCATTGCCTTAGTTTAGGTATGAGATTATCCTATAATATTGTCTCAGATCTGCTCTGATGCTATCCTCAGTTTATTGTTCCGCTGCTTGTACTAAATATGTATGGTTGTCTTCATTGTAGGAAGCTCTTTGTAATCTACTGGAAAAAGGAGGACAAATTGTGTTGGAAGGTGCCATATGTCGAGAAGCCTCTCAACACTCGCCTCGAGCTTATTGGGCATGGCGTCGACTTGGCTATATCCAGGTATATTTTGTGTTGTCAGTATGAAGGTGTGATGCTTAATAGCAATGTAACATGATATTCTTAAAGACGTTGGAATTCGTGTAGAACTTTGTATGGTATTGAGGAGCCGGTATACTTGCCATCCTGAAGATCTTTCAGTGACTACTATTATATTTGAGTCTTCACAGTTTTAGCTGATTTCTGACGGAGATGATTAAGTTTCGCATTTTGAAACTGCTGGTTTAGTTATACCTGGACTAACAAATTTTTTTGTCGTGGAATGTGTTTTCTTTGAAAGGTTCAAGCGAAACAGTGGTCAGAGGCTGTGTCAAATCTGCAACATGCACTTCGAGGCTACAGCTCGGATGGATGTCTGTGGGAGGTATTCTAGCAGGACCTTATGACGAGTTCCATCTTAATCGTGACTCTAAAGAATCGCCTTGTGTTAAATCTCATGTCAGAAAACTACATCACCTATTTTATTGTCATTTTCTTGCAGGCGTTGGGATTGGCTTATCAACAACTTGGTATGCTAACTGCTGCTCTGAAGGTAAGTCGTGCATTCCATAAATTACGTTTGAAGTTATTTACAGTCAAGTGGTCTTGTTCATGGTTAAATGAGTGATCTTTGTTTTTATTACAGGCATACGAACGAGTTGTGTCTTTGGGAAATACATCTCCAATATTTGCCCTACTTCAGAGTGGTATCATCCTCCAGTCACTTGCATCATATACTCAGGTTTGCATGACATGCTTGTTATGCCGGTGATTTACGTAGTTAAGTTGTTCTTTTTGACCTGAGTGTTTTTAGTTGGAAATGCTGAGATGGTGTTTTGGATCTTACTTGCAGGCTATTGACATATTCCGTAATGCTCTCGACAAGGTTCCTGGAAATGTGGTCGCGCAGTGTGGTCTTGCAGCTGCACTTTTAGGTCGTGCTCGTCAGTGCACAAGTGTTGGAGCCTTGGCTTGGGCTGCGAGACTTTTACAGGTAGAATCATTTCTAATGTCTGGATGGATGATAAGTGTATATTGTAATTTGTTAATGACTATAGTGGATGGCCAAAAGCTATGGTGCTCCTCAGTAATACAAGCATGTGCATTACAGGAAGCTGCTGATGCTGCACACCAATGTACATCAAGTAATGGTACTGTTGCCGCTGCGTGGAAACTATTGGGAGATATTGAGGTGTGTACCACCTACGCTTCGTATTATGACATGTGTACTTACTACAAATCTCACAGATCCTTGTTCGAGAGTGATGGCAGAGCCACTGAGGAAAAAACGTTATTTTATCCGTCATACACGTAGGAGATATGTTGATGAGCTTGTTATCTTGTTCACTTTAGAACGTTCTCATAAACGATTGTTTGGAGGCAGGTTGCATATGCTCAAATATTGCCATGTGATCTCATGGATTCCATATCAGATGGTATCACCCGAGAGGATTTCAATGAGCAGGAAGCGGCTTCTTTTTGCGACCAGGTTCTACTTTGGTATCAGCAGCGTAAAGCTGCTAGCAAAAGAGCGCAACGCGCTTATCTTCATTTACTTCATATATGTCCTCAGCAAGGCCATGTGTATGGCGATCTAGCAATGGCCATAAAGCTTGACCACTCGTTAGACCAGAACGCACCACCGAGTGAATCAACAAGGTATGTTCGCCGCCAATTTATTTGATATGTTGATTTATGATATGAGGCATGAAAGGCGGCTCAAGCGTATACCCAACTCTTCGCCTTCTCATCTTTTCTCTTGTTTTTATTGGCAGGTTGGATCCAGAAAGAACTGTTTTATCAGGATTGCGCTTAGATACTTCACGTGCAGACCTCTGGTTCATATTTGGTGTGTTGGTACAACACAAAGCTCTGAAACAACATGCCTTTATTCAGGCTCTACGACTAGATGCATATCATTCCAGCACTTGGGCTCATCTAGGACAGGTTTTCACTTCTTCACATAATACCTTGAACTCATTTATTGTACCATTCAGAATGTTTTATGGTGAACCATTTGGAGTGGTTGCTTGGTCCTGAGTGGATTTATGGGCATATATTCCCATGTGAGACTGTGGGAGTTCTTGTTTATGCTAACAGCTTTACCTGCAAGAGAGGGAGCTTGAGTTAGCAAAGCAGGCATTCGATAGATCTCGAAGTGCAGATCCGACTCTAAGCCTACCGTGGGCGGGTATGGCCTTTCTGCACAGCCTCAGTGATGGGTGAGTTTTTCATTTGAAGATTTTTACTTCCAACTTTGGGGGGCGGATTCTAAGGTCATAGATGCTGTAATTGAACGTCTCGTGAGCAGTCTTCTGTGTTGAATGGAAATTTAATTGCTTGTAATTTTTCTTTTTTCGATTTTTAACGTTACTTTTTATGCAGAAAGAAGGAGATGGACGAAGCCTTCGCGAGTTGCTTGTATGCTGTGCATCTACTACCAGTATGTTGGGACCATAGAAGTTTTTAAACTTTCACTAACTTTTATTATGCAAAAAGGACAAGTGTCATCAATCACTGAAATGTAAATTGCGATGATTTAGATGTATGCTTTGTGTGGTCAAGATTTTACATGTGAATTTCACCCTCAACGAACATTATCAAGATGTAGTTGTGAAGGTTTTCTTTGAACTCGACCTCTCAGCTTTTTTGTGGTTAAGCAGGTTATGCAAGTTCAACTTGGCCTTGCAAGGTTAGCCGAACGCACCCGCCACCTATCTACAGCACAGGTGCAGATCATTTAAAACTGCTACAAAAACTCCATATTTTGTTATGGGGCAAGTTACGCGTGATTCAGCAACGATCTAGACTACAGAGGTTTTCAAAACATTTACTAGCATCAGCGACTTTGTCGAGGATCGATTAGGATGACATTGCATTTATGTACTGAATATGAGCATTGCCTTTGATGATTTGGAATAGGTATATGCAGCCATAGAGCAGTGTGTACAAAGAGCACCCCATAGTGTAGAAGCGCTCAATCTGAAGGGCCTTGTTTGCGAGTCTCGAGGGAGCCTGTCAACTGCAATCTCCGCTTTTCAGCTGGCACGTCATATAATTGAGGAAGGACTGGGGAAGACGAATTCAACAGCTGCAGGAAAATTGAATTGTGTATTGTTGAACCTTGCAAGGGTCTTATGCAAGGTAAGTGTCGTCTTTTGATAACTTCTTATGCTGTCAGCTTGTGTTCGTTTCACTTAAAGGGCAATAAAGTCCAAACACTAATCTTCAGATATTACATGCGTATACCCCTGAAGGCTTGAAATTTTCTTTTTAAAAAAATGTAGTTACCTTTCATTTCCAGGCTGGCAGAGCAAGGGACGCAGTTCAAGTGTACGAGATTCTTGTAGATTCAGGTACAAAACATTTCTTACGGGAATTTGACGTCTACTATATGTTCTGGGAGCATCAGAGCAGTCTCTGTTATAGAGTAACCTCTTCTTATTTTCTGGGTTTGGAATTGTTGACAGATGTTGCCATGTCATTTTACATATTGTAAATTACAGTTTCTGACGACGTATGTGGTTATGATTAAAATGAACTTAGATTGAAATTACAGATTTAAGAAGTATAATTTTAGCTCACAAGCTCATGTTTCTCTATTTCATTAGGCGTACTGATGGAAGAGCCAGAGGCACTGCGAAGCTACGCTGTGGCAGCATGGCTTGGAAATAGAAAAGAGCTAGCTGCTGCTATTGCACAGCAGGCTGTAGAAGTGAATGGAGAATCAGCATCTCATACACTCTTCTTCAGAATGACGTACTGGCTTTCAAGGCCTCTCCTTGTCTTGGAGGACTTAAGAAGGGCCAGTATGGATCTTTTTCGTAATATGATTTTTGGTTCTACTGCTCTTGCTATGGCCATAATGGCGGATCACCAGCAGTCTGTAGCCGGTGTTCTGTATAGGTCTAATATTTTATTTGACCATGAAAGAGGTCCTCAGGCGCATCATTTAGTTGCCGATTGGAAACAGGTATTAATGTTAATTTCTTTCATCTTAATGAACTACCGATCTGAGAAAGGAGACCGGGGCTTTGAATAGCATGACTGGTCGCAAGTACTGTGTTGCCTTGATAACGAAGAGTTCACCACAGAAAGTTTGTTGGTTGTAAATTTGTCTTCGTTAAGCTGAGTGTTTTCGAATTGCAGGGCAAGCATGAGGAAGGGCATTTGTACAATAGTACAATTGAGGAATTGCTGAAGGCCATGCATTCATTTCCAGACAGCATTTCAACACGGTACCTTGGGCAGTTTTAGATAGCTTTACATAGCTTATGTTATCTTATTATTTTTTCAATTTTTTTCTTCTTTGTATGTCGACAGTACTCATTCTACTTACTTTCATTTGACGTAGACTGTGCCGTATTTAGAGTCTTCTCTGATTTGGTGAAGCGCAAATGAGATTCCAACTCTACCATCAGAATGGTAATCAACAATTATTTTTTAACCTTTCTTCATGAATTTTATTTATGAAATTGGTATGTTATCGACAGGGCTAAACTCGGTCAGAAGCTTACGGAAAGCACTTACGGTAATTGTGCTTACCTTTCTCTGAGATGCTGCGATGTACCTGGTCCAGTTCCACAACAAGATTTGTGTACCAGTTTGGTAGGCGCAGTATTGGCTGATGCTACTAATGCCGAACACTCAGTACTTCCAAAATTACTTCGGTAAGATGTTTGTGATTGCTCTGCTTTAATCTCCTCTTTTCGAAAGTAGGATATGGTAGTTACCTGGTACCAAAAAGAGCATTCAAAAAATAGGGTGTGTAATGCCTCTTTTTACCTGATAATTTTTGAGCTCAAAATTATTGATATTTTTGTTCAACACATTATGCATACCTTTTCAATTTTGTCGTTTTGCGAGCATGGAGTGTTGAATCTTCTATCCTGAAACTGATTTGCGTATCAGCTTGCAATGCTGGTTCCTATTTGCAGTGAAGCCCCTCTAAATAGCATTTTTTGAAATTGTCCTACGCAGGTGGGTACACATGGAGCCTTGGAACAAAACGGCAAAATCTAGTTTGGTACTCACATTACAACAGGTGCAAAAGCCAAATGTACACCTTGCAGTTGGTCGTCTTGCACTCACACAGCCAGTGTCTGACCCTGTATCCTTGGACATAGATGTACTACTTAAAGTATGTGCCTCCAATGCAGCATTAGAGCATGGGGATACTGCAGCTGCTTTGCAGCATGCGAAAGCTGCATGCTTATTGAATGCGTCAGCAGAGTGTAATTTTGTCGCTAGCTTTCATCTGGCACGTTGTTATCTAGCAACCCAGAATCTCCCGCTACTGCGAGTGGAGGTCAAAAAGTGTAGACGAAATTTAAAACCGGATGACCTTTTGGGACACTTGAAGTTGTCAGAAATGGAGGATAAGTTGGGTTTGCAGACAGAGAACCAAAATTCTAGTTTTGAGCGTGCTATTGGTCTGAAAAGTACAGCTCATCCAAAGGTGTGGACTTCGTTATGGCATCTAAGGAAAGCCCAAGGGCTTTTACAAGCGGAAGACTACATCTCTGCTGAGAAAGCTGCTGGTCAAGCTTGTGCCGTCCATCCAGAATCTGCCCCTCTTCATCTCTTTCACGGTAAATTAAATCAGCGTTGTTTCCTACGCAGAAGTGTTTACTGGTTAAATTGGTTCTAGTTAGAACATTGTAGTGATTTTTGTGAATTTGCATATTGAGATCTGTATGTACCGTGTAGGTGCACTCTGCCTCTCACTATTCAACTTAGGAGGCTATCCACAGCAATTAACTTCAGCAGTTCGCAGTCTAAGCAAGGCTGCATCACAAGGAGGACCTTCCGAGGTCTGTGTGGCTGGTGTTTTACTGGCACAAGCTGAAACCAGTAAAGGGAACATTCGTAGTAGAAATGCTCAAAAGTGGGAACAAGTTCTTCGATCGGCATGGAAATGCTGGCCTGCAGGTTTTCTCATACTTGACATGCTCAAATTTCATTTCTGGTTGGCAATGAATCAGATTCTTTTTTTTTTAAAAGCTTGCTATGTGTAATGTACAGTTGTAGGTAAATGCCCAAGTCAACTTTACTGAGGTTCAGTGTGATAACTAATGTCAATTTCCCTGATTTTTTGTTGCAGAGGACAGACCTGGGGAGTTGTATTTTCAGATGGGGTTGCTTGCTGAACAGTTCAAGGATACTTCACATGCAGGCATGTACGCTCCTGAGTCGTTACAAAGCAAGCGGTCGTGGATGCAGAGAGCTGCCCACGCAAATCCAGCTTGCCGCCGCTATTGGGAATTGTTATTGTAGCACTCACGTCTGCACCAGTTTATGTAAATTGTTGAGTACTCTTCTTTTATCATTTGAGCTCACAATTTTAAAAAAAGTGACACCTATGATCACTTTTTCATGTTGTATGTGGAACCTCTGATTGACAAGCTCCACCTTTGATCTGTACGAAGACCAAAACCGCGGCTGCAGCAAGTCGATGCCGCAAAAGAATCATTATACACAATATACAGTTTACTTATTTAGTGGGGAATCTTGTGTTTACACTCGCCTCCAGCATGATTGCGGTGCCTAACCATGTCTTCATTCGACTGTATTGAGGCTCCGGTTGGGCTAGACGGTTATTCAAGCAGACGAGCAACTCGCGGTGGTTACTCAGGTTGTTAACGCTAGTAGTTACTGCAGATAGGAAGAGGCAGTATGATTTGCTCTGAAATTCCACGTCCTTTTCACTTTGATCAATGTTATTTCTGTAGGAGTCTATGGTTTTTATTTTATTTTTAATTCAATTAACATTATGAAACATAGGTTAGTAAGTTCATTCTTAGTGTTGGAGTCTAGGAAAGTGAAGAGAAGGAAAGTGAAAGGATTGAACTCTTTTCAGCTGTACTCTCTTTCCAATCCTTGACGAGGAGAGGAGAGCTATGAATTCTAGAATATAGGGACATCTTTCACTGGACTCGATAAATTGTCAGTATCCTGTGTTCGACTGTGTTATAACATTTAAGCCCCAGCCATACTAACGGTTTAAGATAAGATAGTTGATGGTAATTGTGCGACAATCTTCACGATTAAATTTGCCTAATTTTTAGCATCTAGGAGAGGATGTGCTGAATTCAAATCCACAGTTATATACATTCGCATGATGGTTTAGGTTATGTTACTGAAGTCTAAACTAACCAAAGTTAACTAATACTAAAATAGTCACAAATTGTAAAAACCACCAAAAATTCTTTCCAAATTGAAATTTAGAGGAGATGAAAATTTCTCTCCAATTGGTACTTAAAGAGTGACAACAGATGCCCAAGCAAATAAACAAGTATGTTATTCAAAAATAATAGAGCACTCATTAAAGAAACTTATAATATTTATTTCAGCTCTGTTTAGGATCAAGTTTCCAATCTAGTAATTTACAAGATATTATTTTGCCAAGAACATTAGCATTAACATATTTTTATTTCTTGGATTAATTCCTTAGATATTTAGAATCTAATAATAAAATCCAAGGAAAAGTTTTGTCTCTGCCTATTGCCTGCTTAGTGCCCTTTTGAATTCAGGAGATACCAAGCAAGCATTGTACAGAGGTAGATACTTTTGTCTAAACTTGACTCTACAAATAATAATTTGTGTAGCAACAACTCAAGGAAATATCTAAGTATTAGAGTCAAGTTATCAAGTTTCCAATCTAGTGATTTATCTATTTCCTTGAGTTTGGAAGATGTTCAATAGACACAAAAATACAACCACAAATCAAAAATTAAAATTAGTTAATTTATTATAATAATTAATTAATTTTTCTCTGAGTGCTTTGGATAATTTCAATTTAGATTTTTTTTTTTTTTTTTTTTTTTTTTTTGGTATATGTGTGTGTATGCGTGTTTTATTTATTTATTCATTGTTCCACTCTACTTATTCATGTTTTGGAAAGAAGAAAAGAAGCTACTTTAATGCAATATTTTAAAGCTTTGTTTAATCAACACTATTAGTCATTTTTGCCACCTTCTTAGATTTTTTTTTTATTTATTTATTATTATTGGTTGTGTTGTTGATAATGTAGTTCAAATAATCCTCATATTGTTAAGATGGGGCTTGTTTTATTTTATTTTATTTTTTATATAAAAGGCGGTTGTATGGTGCTAAGGCAAGATATTTTTTTTATTGTGTCTTTTCTAAATATGATGCAGTTGCACCTTACAAAAGCAAAATTGTTTTTAAACTTGATTTTCCTAATATATGATGTAGTTGTGCATTGTAAAAAAAAAAATTATTATTATTATTTTTTTATTTATTTTTTTAATTTAATAAAAACTTCTATCTTTAATATCTCATTTTGTTATGATTTTTCTCTCATGTCCAACTTTGATTTAAAGCTTTTTTTGCAACAAATGAACTTCTACAATTAAAAACTACAAAGTATTCATTTGATTTTACAAATAGTAAGTATTTATTTAAATTGTACTTCAATTCTTTTTATTCCAATGACATGTCATATGTAATTTTCTATCTTTCATATATATTATATAATGCAAGACTATATATGTGAATATTTGTATGATGTTATAAGTTTGCATAATGTAAAGGGTACAATAATCAATACATGCATGCATCTATTTACAAGAAAAGAAGCTAAAATATTTATATAAGTAGATTTTTAGTACTTTATTGCAAATTAATATAAATGTTGTATTATATAAAGACTATAGCTAAAGTCTTTATACAATTCAACATTTATATTAATAAGAAATATATATATATATATATATATATATATATATATTACAACATGATTTTCAAATTTATAGTAAGATACATATAATAATTTTTTTAGTAATTTTTTATTTCAGATTTTTGTGATTTTATTTATTATTGAATAGATTGTGTTAAATTTTAACAAAATGTTTTTGGATTTTGTTGAGTTTTTTTGGATATTTGATATTAAAAGTTTTATTAGATACAATAGCAATTTCTTAAATTTGTGAATTGTATCTAAAATTTGTTTAACAAATTTTATTCAATGTGAATAATCGTTTTAAAATGTTTTATTTATCAATTGTATTGGATGTATTGAAATAATAAGCATGTTTTTGGAAATTTATTGTAGTTTTTTAATTTTAATTTTAATTTTAATTTTTTTTGTTTGGAATTGAAGAGTTGATTGAGAAATTTTTAAAATATCATTAAAAATAGAATGCATTTGAAATCGTTGAATTTTAAATATTTTATTTTTTATATTTCATTTACATAGAGGATTAAAAGTAGCATGATGTTTTCTCAATTCAGAAGCTAGAAGTAATCGTGTAAATGTTTTCTATTAAACTTTATGTATATAAAAATGAAGCCATTTTAGAACTAAATTCAACACATAAACCTTGCAAAGTGGAGTTGCAAATTTTCAAAAAAATCCCAAATCTTTATATGTAAATTATGTATGACTTTACAAATCATCTCTTTCTTCTTTCTTTTTACTTTTTTTTGTTTCTTATTTTTATAATTTTTGTAAACATGTTATATGAAGTGATTTGTGCAAATAGTGTTTTGTCTTTTTCCTTTTCGTTTTAGACGTGGGGGTTGACTTTAAGGTTGTAGCCATCTTCTTTTCATTGGTAGAATCCTACTTGGCTAACATCGTTAAATGCTACAAAAACACACTCAAATTCCCTTGTCTTCAGTGCAATATTGCACAAAGACAACCATGTGCTACCTAATTAAGCATGGCAGCTGCAAATCATCACACAACACATACTCTGCCTTAATTATTTGAAAATCTGATTGTATGGCTAATGACTTGACGGTGGCTTGAAGTGATTGTTACACCTAAGTCCAACTCTTGGCTTTCAACGCACTATACACATTGCCACACATATTGACTATTTCTGAAATAGGGTGAACAATCAAAATAAAGCGGGGGCAGTACACCCCATTCCCTTTTAACCATCGTACATTCTATTCTCAGAGTAAATTCTAAAAGCCAGGTATAAAATGGAAGCTCTAGAGAAAAATGTATGTAAATGCAGAGAAAAACTCTACAAAGACACCGCACTGAAAACTAGATACAGATCTTTTGCAATGGCCAAAGATTCAACCAATGGCTTTCGTGATAGGTTAAAGGCTAGCCCAAACTTTGTGTGGTTTTGACCTACCACCTTTCTCCAGAGACTGTTTTCAATCAAATTCTAGTAAATACAAAAATAACTAGATGACTATTAACAGACCATGTGTCCATGACAAGACATTCTTGAAGTCGTTGACACGGCCCTAATACAGAAGTCTGTCGCGACTTTTGCCCCTATCCACTGTGGAGGTGCTTGGATATACATTGCGATGCATCCAACACTGCACCTTACAAAGTGACAGCATTTCAATTTTGTAGAATTTATCCAAAACATGGATAAAAAATCTGTGACGATTCATCTGCTTTGGGCCATTCAAACGGTCTCTTCAAAGCACCATTCCCAACCTTACCGATTGTTAGCAGCACTACTAGCAGCACCGAAGGCGGCCAAAAGCTTGACCAAGTCGGTGACTGAGGTATCTTCCCGCCCATCAGAAGATCCCCCCGAGGACCTTGTCTGTGCTCCCCCCGCAGCACTTCTACGATTGTGCTGATACTCGTAAGCAGCAGTTTTCGACGTTCGTGCAGTTGACAGTACGCTCAGGAAATCAGATTGCTTAAGAGGCCTAGGACCCTGTGTCCATCACATCAAGTCCGTCACGGGGAATACATATTGCTTAAAAACATTTTACTTAAATCACTGTCCATGCAGCAAAAAATGACGTAGTAATACTTGAAAAGAAAAAAAATTCCTAAACCAATATATAGCGGATAATAGATGTTGACGAACCTTAACTTCGACGAGGCCATCACCGTTCGCCCTTTCTTCATCCAATAGATCACGAATGGGCATGTAAGCTGCTTGCTTACACAGTTCAGTCAAGTCTGACCCACTGTAGCCATCAGTTAGACTTGCAAGTTGATCAATATCCAAACAATTTTCACATATTTCATCCTTGAGGATAACCTTCAATATGCTAGCGCGCTGTGATTTGTCAGGCATGCCGACTTCGAATGCTCTGGGAAGTCGTCTTAGAATTGCTTCATCAAGCTCCCAAGGCCTGTTTGTCGCAGCCAAAACCATCACTCGCGCATTCTCTGAGCAACAAAAAAAACCGGATGAATAAAACTAAAACAAAGAATAGTTCTAATCCAACATATAATTAAAACTTCAGTTTCCCCAAAACCAATGTAGCTCATACGAACTGGACAACTTAACAAGATGAAAAGCATGCTGCATGAAGTTGGAGTATTACGATCTGTGGTAAATCCGTCCCAAAGGGCCATAAACTCCGTCTTCATGTTTGTAAGAGCCTCATGCTCAGTGACACGACGCTGTCCCAAAAAGCTATCAACCTCGTCAATAAATATGATCGAGGGCTGCAGTTTGTAGGCTAGGGTAAAAACTGCTGTGACTGCATACCAGAGACAACATAAATATTTTATGAGGTTCTTCAATCAAATCCTTCGCAAACTGAATAAATGTTAAAACAAACACCAAATGCAATCATAATTTAGGAGTCATGGAATACCAACAACGTATGAGGTATTCCAGCAGCATTAAGACCAAGTCTCGCCCAAGAAGAGAAATCACGCTTAAAGAGATTATACCTAGCTTCTGAGCATCACCGAACCACTTGCTCATCAAATTTGCGATGCGGACATTGATAAAAACAGCACTAGACTCCTTGGCAATAGCCTTCGCCAGGAGAGTTTTTCCGGTACCAGGTGGGCCAAATAAAAGTACACCCTTCTGCGGGCGTAGAAGCTTGCCATGCGAGAAAAGATCGGGCCGCTGCAAAGGTAATATCACTAATTCATGAAGTGATTGCTTAACATACTCAAGCCCTCCAATGGAATTGAAAGTGACATCGATGTCTTCTGGGTTGATAACATCACAAGCTATCATGTCCTGCAGAACACAATCTCATTATGTTAAATCCCGAAGAGCGCACCTCTTTTCCCAAAAGTGCCAATGTTAACCATCACAATGAAGTTTGGCAAATTTGGAAGATGATAACTGCTTTGATTTATTCCAAACCCTTAGCCAACCACTACAACCAAGACAAAAAACCGTGAAAGGTTTTGGGGGATAGCCATGATAAGGTTAGTCACACAGCATCACTGAGCAGCACTGCTAGTTCGGACATACGTAGACATCCAAATACTTATCCACGACATTCCAATACCCAATTTATGAGCATGACAACCTTTTAAGCTCCAGTAAAAACTTCAAGGCTTCATGTCCAAGAGAAGCTGTAAGAGTTGTTAACCTTAAGCAAAAAGCGAAAAAGACGACTTCTATTAATTCGCTATATTCCTCACGTCGACAATGCAATTGAAACCTCAACAAACACGTAGGCGACTTAAGTAACCTGACCGACAAGAAACCGTAAATTCTGCGATATATAATATTCGTCCCAATGGCGCATAAAGAAGGCAACCCAATTCAAACACAAACCTCGTGGAGAGATTGGGCAAACATCACATCAAACCGAGTAAAGAATTTGCAATTAGCAGAACTAATGGTAACATAGCTAATCAGGCATTCCGTTTAAGGATTGATGTGTACAGCTAGGATTAAAAACCAATTCTTCAGCACGTACTGACAAAGTTCTCGTCAAAAAATTAACAATCCTAAGCAGGATATGTCTTAAACAAAATAATTTCTACGAAACTCTGACCTTTCGTAACATTCCTTCAAACCCACGATATTGAGAGCTTGGCTAGAACGAGGTTCTGTGTTCGTTTTCAGATAATTCTGGAAGGCTTCTTTCCATTCCAAAGATGCCATAATTCGATGTCAATTACCTCAAGCTAGAATCATACTCACGACAACAAAATCCCAGACAAAGACGGTGCACAAAATTCCTCTTTAAAAGCGAGTAATCGTTACCTCATAAGAATTGGTCTGAATTAGAGGCCGGCCAAGACGCTTCGCGATCTCCTTCTTCTGTTCCTGCGCCTTCTTAATTTGAGCTCGGTTAGGATCAAGATGCCGCAGCCCGACGAACAACACCAAGCAACTCAAGGCCGCGCTGACGGCGTACAAAAACAATTCCTGACCAACCGACGCCGCCCTCGTCCCCGCCCCCATGTTCCACCTTCACCACCAAATCCTAACTCCCTTTTAACCTCAGACTCTCTTCTGTCTCTTCTGCACAACGCCTGGTGCGCCCCTGTCTCCTCCGCAACCCTAATCACCAACAATCTCCCAAACCCTACCACGCCAAATCTCTCAACCTCAACCTAATCACACCGCCAAATTTATTTGTAAAAAACAATCACCAGAACTCGACCAGCACTTCACACTCCCTCCTGCGAGCCCCACACAAACGAAAACCCGGTCTACCCGAGCAGCCGCGGAGCCCGACGCAGGAGGCGATAAGCTACCGACTCTGAAAAGCCCCGCACCGAAGCAACGGTGTGCCTCTCGATCCAAATGCAAGCGAAAGCTTACTCGACGAAACGCCTTCAATTTGAAATCTACGATTCCAAAACAGAACGAGAGAGTAAGAGCGCGAGAGAGAGAGAACAGGGAAGAGGGAATCATGGTCGTGGCGATGGCGATGCCTCCTGGTGAGGCATGGCCAAGTCCCCTCCCCCCTCCCCCCCACCCAAGTCCCCCCGCCCTCTCGCGATTTCTTTCATTCTTTGTCTCTTTCTTTCTGTCCCGCGTCCGATTTCTTTCTGCAGGCGGAACATTGTCCGTTCCCTGAGTTCCCATGTGAATCTCGGGTTCCGATTGCGTCCCTTTGCGTTCCCGTTATTTTTATGCATTTATAGATTCAAGTTGGCCACATGCACATTGGTAACCTTTTATTGGCGACGTCACAAACCTTGTTTTTATTCGCAAAATGTTCTTTTGCAGATTTTTACTTTTTCATCATGTTTATTAGTATGCAACCAAAAAAAAAATTGAATAAAAAATGTTCATCATAAAAGTGAACTTAGTTTAATTCTGTATGTTTATTATTGTTACAAATATCAATGTTGTGTAAAGTAAACAGATGTAAGTTAATTTCAGTTTCAACAACAAATACATTGGAATTATTGTTGCGTGATTCAACCATTATATTAATTCTATTTTTTGCAATTCTTTTAGCCATCTGTCCATCGACACCATCAAGTTTGTGTAATTTTTGAAGTTGTAAACAAAGCACAAATTAAATATTATACGGATACAAAGTATTTTTATGTTGTGGATATAATGAGGATATTTTACGAAATAAAACAGTCATGGAAATCCAGACGACAAAAGTGAGTAAAACCTTCACTCATCAAAGGCAGCTTTTCAGTGATGATTTTCCATATCTTGTGAGATTTCATACCAGGAAAAAGTCAGCTTTAGGTGCTTGACATTGAAAACGGTCGGAGGCGGATTGCACGCAGTCGTTTTTCGAGTTTTGGTCACATATTAAGGCTCCATCCACACGTTATGCATGAAGTCCATGCACAAACCTAGATGATTCAAAGGTAGTCTTCACTTGTATCGCCTTTGTGAACATGACAAAGTCGAGGAGAAGCTACCTTACCTTTCGTGTTGGCTACAATCGCATTGAAGGTCACGGAGAATCTAGAACAGACTGGTTCAATTGTGTGGCCCAGCAACAAAAAGGGATCCATGAAGAGCTCGATGCGAAATCTAGTGAAGTACAGGTCACGCTCGAAGTGCTTTGAGTTCGTTGCGAGTTCAAAGGTAGTCCTCGGAACTCCTACCTCTACAATCCCTGCAAGAAATACGGACTTCGCTTCAACACAAGCAGCTCAAGCAAAAACTGGAGACTCGTGTCCGTCTTGGGGTCCAGCGGTATTATGATTTTGCGAGTGAAAGCTGGAATATCTACTGTCGAAGGAACCGGATTCTTCAGCCTTTGGAAAGAGGAGAGGCAGACGGCAACGGTGGTAATGCCTGCAAGATGAATTTTTTTGAGTTCCTAAGCCCAGGAGGAGTGGCCAAAGGATTCCCACGACCGCCTCCAAATGATGCTTGCTCCCTACTACTATACTGGGGTGGAGTGACACGTTTCTGCTTCGGAGAGCTCGACTTAGTCAGAGTTCTTCGCGTCAGGGATCCGAAAATGTCTGCGTGCTTCAAAGAGTCTGGGGTGCTGTCGTCGTCGTCGTAGGGGGCCGCCGTCACTGACCCTACTTCACTTTGGAGATTCTTTCCTGGGTAAGTCGTGGAGGTGAGTGGCGAATGGAGCTGATCGGTGCTAGACAACTGGGCTTGGTGAGGCATATCGAAGCTAAACGGGGTAGGTAGAGCCGGTTGTCTAAATCCTGGAGTGCGCGGAGACCAATTTCTGCAAAGGGAACCCAACGCTGAGGATTTCGATTCTTCATTGTAGAAATTGAATATGAATGTGCACGAGCATGTAGTCCCACATCTCAATCTAGAGTTTCAAGGAGGCAGTATTACCTTGCAGATAAGTGATGTTGAGCACTCGTCGCAGAGGTTGTACGATGTGAAGAGTCGGACATCTGGATAACGAGTGCGGGAGAAGTACCAGATCGTTCAATTGTCACACAAGAAGAGTCTGGGGTTTGTTGCAAGGTTGTCAGAGGTAGAGGGGTGAGGGGGTAGAAGTCACTCAAACCTTCCCAGCGAGAGGACGCATGGCCACTCCGCGAAAACGTCGGGGTTGTTGTTGGGGAGTCATCAACATCATTCATAGAGAAGTCTGTGTCTCCTTGAGGATAGGGCGCTAAATCAAAACTATCCAAAGTATTCGAGAATATGGTCGGGGAGTTGGGAGGCCTTGACAATGGCTGGGCTGAGAGGGACGCAAAATGCTCGTCCGAGGAAGCACGCTTACGCCCTGAAGAACTCAGTCGGAGCATGGATCCACCAAGCCTGAAAATGGCAAAAACAAATATTATTGCATTCACAAGGATCAACAAAAAAGTACAGACAATGCACACTATCAGAAAAATGAGTAGAAGTACTAAACTGCAAACGTGTGAACCATGAAGACGTAAAACAGCGTTAACAGAACGAAAGACATAAAAGAGAAGAAAAAATGCGCTCCCTGATCAACACATTGCTCTAAAATGAGCTACACTTCAGAGCCAATTAATAAAACAAGTATTTAATACAAGATCAAATACCAGCCACGTGCGAATGTAGGGGTGATTGGAGGAAGATTTGATTTTTCATCATCACAAAGTTGATCGGTTCCTCCACTCGTACTCTTGAACAGCTCAGTGGTGACTTCAGCTTGAGAAGTTTCTGAAGCAGAGTGAGCATGTTCCACCACTTTTCCCTCACCTTCTTCGGGACCTGTATTTCCGCAATATCAAGTAAAAAACACATTGTATAGTTTTTTAAGAGAGGCCCTTGACTCAAGAGTTCAAACGATTTTGGTTATTGAACAGCACTGTGCCGCTTAAGAGTCTCTTTGGGAATGCGATGCCCTAGCTCGATAGTTCAGATCTTTGGAAACTCTTCCATGATATATAATGGAACGTAACTCTGTGCACTACTTTAATAAACATAAATTTGACAGGATCAATAAGTGCATTATTCTCTGTGACGATACGAGAAGAAAATCAGTGAAACAAACTCTATTACGACTTTCTCTTTAAAAGAAACCTTGGTTTAGGTGTAACTATTAATAATTGCAAAAGAAAACAAGAGGCCATCGCGTGGAGGAATGCAGACCTTCCTTCCTGCCGTACATATTCTTGCAGCCTTCACACCGACACCCTTCTGAGCACCCAACACCAGCCTGTCCGCCACAATGGCACTTTGTTAGGAATTTGATGAGATAAAGGTTCTACACAACAGGAAAAACAGTTAAACTCATCATTCATAAGGATAGTAAGTACCTGGTAACACTCGCAGTACTTTTTGAGACAAAGTGATTTTTTGCAGTTACAACCACGCTTGTGCCTAGCCGAGGCTGGAGTGTCCAGAGCATCATCCTACACAGCCCATACACCATAAGCTACAAAGAAATCTTGGTTGCTCATCAACAAGGTTCATAACAGATTTACCGCAGTTGGAGGGCCAAGTTTGAAATTACCCGTGGGATGGGAGTAGGTTCGGCAGCCTGAACAATTTTGGGGGCAAATGCCAATGGGTCGCGTGCTTCAATTTGTTGTCTGGTGTTTAAGACTGTCGCTTCATATTCAGGTTTATTGAAGCAATTCCGGCATGCACACGAACCCACGCAAAATAGACGCGCAGCAAAGCACTCACAATACCTGCTTAGCAGAATGCCACAAAACGGTTACAGTAAAATTCTTTATTCCCTACGGTACTGGTCAATAAAAAATATAAAAAAATCAAATTTTCTTAACGAGGCAATTCGGCTACTTGAAAGATTCTCCTGTTCAATGTTTTAACATTTAGCTTTGAAGTAAAAAAAGCATATCAGAAACTATAATTGTATGGACATGACCTAAAAACCATGTTCTACAAGGCATCCTCTAACAAACCATTACTATATAGCATCTAATAAAAGTGCGAGACCCCTAAATCGTTTGCGTGTTAAATTAACGGAGTACTAGCCAATTTCGCAAATTGAGACAAGATAGATTAGAAATTTGCACTACGCAAGGAAAATGTAACAAAATGCAATACAAATATTCAAACAAGGGAAAACTTACAGTTTGAGACACTTAGATTTCTTGCAATTACAGCGCTTGCAGCCATCACCTGGTTTCTCAGCTTGATGAGACCTAGGAGATTTCCGTCTGGATAACCTGCGATAAAATATCACATTAGATAGCACATGTAAAATTGTGATATGAAATGTTATCACAACATGTCAAGATTTTCCTAACAATATTGACATGTTGGCATAGCATTCACAACAATAAAGAGAAAGCATTATGAGGATAGAGTTCAGTGAAATTCGAGGAAAGATGGCACAAGGTTTAGCCTTGCACAAAACAGTATCACTCAAACACTCGAGGGTGTTTCTCTCCCTGGGTCCTAACGTCTGTCTGCTTTACACCTGCAAGCATACAAGAGTACAGTCAATGAACAACTCACCGTCTATTCTTACAGCTCTGCGGACTGTCCAAAAGTTCATCGTCAACTTCCCCCTCCCGTTGCCAAACTAAATCCTGTTCATCAGGTCTGGATCGTTTCCGACCTCGAGGACTTACAACTGAAGTCAAAGGTAATGATTCTACCGAAGAAACTCCAAAGTTATCAATGTCCAGTCTCGTAGAATCGGGGGTTAAAACGTAGACCGTGTTGTTACAAGGAAATAGCGTATCAGCTTTAGCAGTCTCCATCTCAGTCCTTTTCGACAAAGACCCTGCTCTTGGAGTATAATTTTGGTTCAGAATTGCGGGAAAACCTGCACTAACCAAATCTCCCCTGGGACTTGATGCCAGAGGTTGTAAGCCCAACACTGTTGCCAAAACTTCTTTGGAACTTTCTCCTCCAGTAGATGGAGGATCCCGCTTGAAGGACATGGAGCTTGTCAAAGAATTTAAATGAAGCCCAATACCAGTCTTGTGAACGCGGGGGCTACGCCTCACACCTTCTGGTGAATTGATTCCACCTGTAACCCCACTATTATGCGACTTCCAAGCATGTGATTCGCCCGTTTTGGCATGTGCGATGTCCACCTTATTTTGGTAGCAGCTGCTTGTGAGTTGTTGCACCGTAGTGGCAGCTCCAAGAGTATCCTCACATGCAGGGTTCCCTGCTCCTGATATAACATCAAAACACTAGTTATGCTCCCAAGGTTTACCCCATGTACGGTGAAACCTGGAATATGGACTTTAAAGGTTAAAAATGAAATAAATTTCAGTAACTACAGAATTGCTTCGTGAGGACGTATCCGCAAGTATCATATTAAAACTCATCCTTGGTGTAATTACCAAATGCTACTACTGTCCTCGAAGGATCGTGGTCAAGAGCAGAATCATCCCCAACGGCCTGCACTTCGCTTGTTGTTGCATCTAAATTGGCAGCTCCTACATCGCTAAGAACAGAAGATGTCTTGTTTCCATCCGTTCCACTGCAATCTTTAAGCCTACTGTCTAGAAATTCCCTGCCGCTCGTGATGCCAAAGCTTTTTCTTCTTGCTACGTCGAAATCAAGGCACCGTCTTCTAAAACCACGCTGTTTAGAGGTATTAGCCTGCAAATAGTGCGCAAGAATGAGACAAGCGCTACAATCTATTGTACATCAAGGTCATGAACGTTTAGATGAGAATAAAACTCGGTTGCAAAAACCATGAAGTACTAAGAAGGGCAATAGTTTCTGACATCTCCAACCCTATTCACAATAGATGCGGGACACAAGAACCCAAGAAGGACAAGGACCTGCTGAACATTCACACGCCACTTGAAAATATCCTTCAAGCATCAAAACACCAGAAAACAGAGTTCCCGTACCCTTGGGAGAGACGAGAGGGATCATGGCTAGCATTGACAATTATTAATTTTGAGCCTCTCTCGCGTCTGTCCACACTAGGGGGAACGAAATCCAGGCAGAGAAGACACAGCATCAAGCACCTGAGAATCCTGCTTCCCAGAGCCTCCATTTGTCATGTCAGACTGATTCTCAGCATGTCCAGATGTAGGTTGCAATGGCAACCTTGAAACATCCACCTCATTTGGATCCTCTGACCACTCATCGTCTCCACTCTCTTGTCCGGGGCCCCGGTTCCCAGCGAGAAAATATGCCATGGCTGTAGTGTCCTGATCAAGCTCAGGACTACCTTTCGCAATGGGATTACAGTTCAACCCAAAGTCTTCATTGTGAGAACTGGATATCATAGTAACATGGTTTTGATTGTCATGGATCGGAGGTGATTCTTGACTTGCAATTCCCGACAACACGCAATCATTCGCCTGTGACATTACGCTAGAAAAGGATAGCCTTCCTTCGGCCACTTCAATGTGTTCGGTGTTTGTTCCACCAGTATTTTCTCCTGCGTAATCAATGCAACTAACCATCTCCGAGGGCATCGCTGCAGATACTGCCGGGGCCGGTTGATGGTAATCCGTAAACTGAGTCTGTAAACTGGTGGTGGTAGTGGCCACCGTCTCGTTGATATTGCAGGATGTGGGTTCCGAATTCAGTTGCATGGAGTTTGAAGCAAGTGTCCCTTCATCAACAAGATTAGCACTATTAGGTTGGGAAGCGGGCACTTCTTCTGGTGGTCCGCTTGAGCAAAGAGTTACATGATGATCGTCAGAGCGTCGACTAAGTGGGGATGGAGAAATTGAGTTGTCAGAAAGGGTGTTTCTAGAGATACCCGACTGCCATATAAGGTTTTCTTGACCTTCAGCTTGAGCTTGCACTGAGAAGCGTTCAGCAGCCACAACCCTAATCACATACAACGTCCTATTTAAGTGTTCTGATCGTATAAGTACAAGACTTCAAAACATTGTACACAAAACGAAGGCATTCAAACCAACACGACAAAGGACAAGCTACACCACAATATCATCACCAACAGTGATTCCCTTATACCTCTTCAAAGCACGCGAAGAGGACCTTCTCACACTGTATGGAGAAGCAAAAAATCGAGGTTCGGGTGGGAACATCAACTCGTTGTATGTCTGGACCTGATGCACCGATTTTGCAGATTGGATTGGCGACAAATCACACAAGAACGTGAACACAGGGGAATCCTGCACACTCGATCCCACTTAACTAAGAAACTGCGTTTCATGGGTAAACTTGCAATATAATGTGAATGCATCATCCAGATTTCGAGCACTACGTCCGTGACGTTGTCCATTTAAACAGGTGTGCAACCGGCTGAAGATTCATCGCCAGAGTGGCATCAATATTCCTGATTTTGGTCTGTAACTCGTGGGGGATCATCGCATCCACGAGAATTGAAATCGAATACCAACTCCCAACACAATCGAAACAGGTTCTGACAGCGTTTCAAACTAATCGGTGACAAAAGAGGGACGCGTACCAAAACGAAAGTAATACAACCGGTGTGAGTTAAAACGATAATCAGCTCCGGTACGGCAGACGTCAGTGCAAACAAAATCAAGTTCATTTACGAAAGTCATTAGAGGGAATTACGACGAGAATTGACACACACCTGCACATCTGTAACAAGCGGGATGGACTCTCGTTTGTCAGGCGACGCTAGGTCTGCGCAACTCTCGAATCTCCTAACAACCTCCTCAGCCGCAGTCTTGCTACCACGAGTCAACATCTTCACTTGACGCATTCGATTACCAACACGAAAAACGTGGAAGCGGGTTCCTACGAAGAAGCATTTCACTGCACCAGAACTCGCACCTGTAAACCTATTCCGTCTGTTGCTCTCTGTCCACGCCTTGTCGCACTGGTCGCACAAGAGGTACAACTCCTCACCACCCCTTTCCTCTACTCAATCACCACACCCTCACACTCCCAAAGAACACAAAATCCCGAACATCGTCCCGTCTACGACTCCAAACAACGATAGATGCGATTCAATCCAAACCATACAAAATACACCAGAATCCTTCTCAAAACTTCACTGCATGCTCTATTCGTTCCAAGAATCATTCAACCGAAATTCAACCCCCCTCCCCCCCCCCCGCAAACACACACACACGCCCACCCTCACTTCCGACACTAAATCCATTCACACTACAAACTTTGGCGGATCATCTCTTTAATTCAATAGCTAGGTTGTTCGGGATAGAAAGCTCATGTGGAAGCGGAAGGAGGACGGGACGATTGCAGGTTGGGGTGGTCCTGTGTGAGGGAGAGAATAACGTGGGGGCGGGAAGGAGCAGGGCAAGCCAAGGCAAGGGACGAGCAAGACGGGGAGGTGGGATGATGTCATGCCCTGGCTGAGCGCAAGCCGACACGCGCAATTTGGACTTTCATCGGGCGGGAACATATTATACTCCAATTCCGAGCGCGTCTGCCCGTTCGTGGCTTCGTCCAGGAATCTCTCCTTCCAGCATCATTCAGCTCTGCTGCATGAACCTACTCGCGGAAGCAAACCGACGGACGGACTGGTGCGGAAGGGGTTAGGATCAGAGCACTGCTGGTCTTCTCACCATGCCGAAAGACACGCTGCAGAAGAACGTTGCTGCCTGCAAACCCTAAAATCCCGCTTGCATTCTCAAGATGCACACTCACCTCCCCTGACTTCAGGTGGTTATCAGCCATTGCTGATCCTGTTTCTTCTCGCCCTTTGTTAGTATCACTGTACTTTGTACCACATTTTGGCGTTTGGCAAATTTGGCTGGTTTCACTTTCTCCAAACACATATTTGTTGTGAAATTGAAGTGAGTAAAAAGTTGTACAAAGAGTACATAGTATTATTTCATGTGTAGTAAGAGTCTAAGTGATGACACGTTGAAAAGGCCATTATGTCTAATAACTGTTGTACAAGAATCATATAGATGTTTATTGACTAGTGTATTCATGATGTATCAAAATTATTGAAAAAAAATCAAATGTGCAAAAAATAAGAAATAAAACAAAATAAACAAATGGGAAGCATTAATTGTTATGTTATCAGTTTAATAGATTTCTTGAACACAATCTTTTTTATACTTAACAATGCATCAATTCAACAGATTTATTCACTGCATTGAATTAAAAAAAAAAAAAAAAAAAAAAAAAAAAAACACATCTTAGAATATACAAGAATGTAAAAGTTTTGATGTCCCACAACATAAAAACTTTATCATGACTGGTTTCTACTTTAGTCACCTCATTTTTATAAAAGGTTGGATATTTTTAGGTATATAAGCTTAATTCACTTTTTACTAGTAATTTTTTCCATTTTGTCACACATTTCTATATTAAAAATAATAATAATATTTTGTCTCATATTATTATTATTATTAAAATACATATAAATACATATATTTATAGTAAAAAAGTTTTGATCTTGATCTAACTACTACATTATGTTTTTATACAATGTTATTATTATTATTAAAATACATATAATATTTATAGTAAAAAAGTTTTGATCTTGATCTAGCTACTACATTATGTTTTTATACAATGTGTTATTAAGCCCAATCAACTAAGAATAAATCACCAATATTTCCAAATTATAAAATTAATTTAAAAATAAATTAGATGAATAGTATGAATTCAAATAATCTTACAATTTTTTAATTTTTTTTATTATTCAATATCTTCTCTACTTATTTCTTGTTACTTATTTAACTAGTATCATAAGTTGCTAACATATGAGATATATGGTCAATTTATTGGCCAAGTTTCTAACCTATCAATAAACTATAAACACATATAAAGTCATATCCATCTCTATAAAGCTTCTAAAAAATTTGTATATAAAATATTATCAAATCTATCTTCATTTATCTTTAATCTAATACTTTTTATTATTATATGTGTCTGTATCATTTAAATACAGACTTTAAAACATTAAAATTGGACATAATATATATGCTTATCTATAAGTGTCTTGTGATTAATATTATAGATTTTTTGACAAAGGATGAAAAAAAATGTTTCAAATAAATGTATTTATGGCATGATATGGCATTTGCATTTGAATCACATGAAATAGGATGTGTTGATCCAAGTATTGTAGCACCTATGGTATCAAGGACATGAATCTTAAAGAACTAAAATATGAATACACTCTTATAATACTCAAAAAGACTAAAAAATCACTTAAACGTGATATAGTATTAAACTAAAATGGCTATTGCTCAAGAAAAGAAGACAAAAAAAATCTTGAAATAAGACTAAGGACTAGAAAGGCATTGATAAGAGTGAAAAAGGTTTTACTCTTGCCTCCATTTATACTGTGAACTAGGAGCTACGTAGCAATATGATATAAGACTTCCAAAATATGTTGACTTTGCAAGACACATAACTTAACTTGCAAGACAAGTTTTCTATATGTACGTCACATAGTTAGCTTGTTCCAAAAGCTATCAATACGTGGTTAAATTATTGACTAAGTTTCTATCCTAATAATTAACTATAAATACATATAAAGTCCAAATAACATCTATAAAGCTTTTAAGAAGTTTTTCTAAAAAATATTATGAGATAAATTTATCTTTTATCTATTTCTATTCAATCATATAGATAAATATTACAATAAATATATATGTTTGTGATATTACCTCTTCTTCTTAGGATGAGTTCTACAAAGAACAGTCATCATATATTGAGAAAATTCATAATGTGACAAATTATGTTTGCTACATACTTTGAACTTTATTCTCTTTGAAGATGGTTGATAGGTCCTCTCAATCATTGATAGTATTTTACATCAAGGTAAAAAAAAACACTTTGTTATTTGATTTTTGTTAATGCCTTCTTAACTTCTTTCAAATAAAATATTTGAAACACTATCAAGAGTCGTTCCAACATCTAATAAAATCTCTAAATCTTGGAAGTTTCTTCCAAGATTATGATATCAAACATGTTGTATCTTACCATGTATTTGAGGAACAACTTGTTATTTTTAAGAATCTTCATTTTAATTACATCATCTTGAAGGTTGAGACAATTACAATATTTCATTTAATAAGTCAGCAAGTAATAGTTCTTGAATTGAATCTATTGGTTGTTGGTTCTCCATCTCTTTAGTGTTACAAATGCACAAAAGTATCAAATAAGAATAGAAGGTAGAATTTTATCTTTTTTAGATATTTTTTCTTTAATAGAAAATATTTGCTATTTTTCATCTTAATTTTGATGAATGTCGTTAATGATAGCTTTATATCTATCTTTAATATCTTAAAAAAGATTCTCCAAATTCTTGATATAAATTGAATTCTTCTTATTTTATATAATATCCTTGAATAATCCATGATAGCAATAGATTTTGTCAAGAAAAAGCTTGGCCATTTTTTCACTTATGATAGATTTTGTATATAGTACAAAATATGCCATCTTGGTAAAATAATCTACTATCAAGAATATAGAATGATAAGAACTTGAGATTGAAAGATCTTTGATAAAATCTATATAAAGATAGACCATAGTTTTTTTAGAATATATAATGGCTGAAGAAATCTACAAGATCAATGATGATGAGTTTTGAATCTTAAATAAATTTTATAAGATTATACAAAGTCTTTGACTGCCTTCCATATTTGAAGCCACTAAAAATCTCTTCATATTAGTTCTAACATTTTGTTGTATCCAAAATATTTGATTGCTAGAAAGTTATGACAAGCTTGAAGAACATGTAATTATGCTTTATCTTTTAAATATATAATTATCCATCAAAATAAAATAGATTATTTTTAAACTCAAATTTGAAAGTATTATGAGACTTAGAAGAATTATTCTTGATATCATGAACAAAAAGATCAAAAGAAATATTTGATTGAATTTGTTTGACAAAGGTTGAATCTATAATCAATGTTGCTTTTATTTCTTGAAGATAAAAATGCTTTGACTTCAAGAAAATCGTTGTTTGATGATTAAAGATTGTATCTCCTTATTTTGGTGTAATATAAGAATATCTAGAAAAGACATTTGATAAACCTTATTATTTTTTTAGATGTATAGATAATCTTGAAATCAAATCTTAATAAAGACATATTCCAACAAGCTTGACAATGATTCAAAACATGTGATGATATGAAGTAGTCAAGGTTCTTGTGATTTATGTACATAGTAATTGGATTAGAAGAGCCTTCTAGATAATGATGCTATTCTTGAAATGAATCCATAATTACAAAAAATTCTTTGATATAGATTTCTATTAGTTAATTTCAACTGCTAAAAATTTCTTGGAATGAAAAGTAACTAGGTAGAGCTTATCATCTACTCCTATTTGTGATAAAACAACACCTATAATAAAATTTAATATATCTATTTTTATAAAAAATATCTTAAAAAAATTGATATAATATAAAATTAGTATAGAATTAAATATTGTTTTTAATGCTTCAAAAGTTATTTTTGCTTCTTTGCTCCATTCAAGTTTGTCTTTACATGTCATGTGTGTAAAAAGAGCTGCAACTTGAAAAAAAGTTTTTGATAAAGATTTGATAATAATTGGCAAATCTTAAAAAATATTACACATCTCTAACTGTTTGTAGAACCTTCCATTCTATGATAGTTTAGATCTTTTTAGAATCCATCATTAATCTTTTATTAAGAATGATGCATTCTAAAAAATTAATCCAAATAGTTTAGAATATCCACTTTTTTATGATTATATATAATCTTGTATCTCTAAGTTTTTGTAATATATAAAAAATATGAAATTTATATTCTTTTATATTTTTAGAATAGATTAGAATGTCATCTAAATAACAAACAACAATATCATCAAGAAATTCATAAAAGACATCATTTATGAGATGTTAAAAAGTAGATGGTGTATTTATGAGTCCAAAAGATATGACATTATATTCAAAATGTCCATATCTAGTTCAAAAAGTAATTTTCTATCCATCTCCTTCTTTAATACAAATCAAGTTGTATGCTTCTGATAAATCTATTTTTATATAGAAATTTCTTTGATTAAATTGATCAAGAAGTGTTGAAATCAAAGGTAGGGGATACCTATTCTTGATGGTGATCTTGTTAAATCTTCAATAGTCTACACACATTTGCACAAATCTATCTTTTCTCTTCACAAATAAGATAGGAACTCTCTCTAGAATTTTAAGTAGTGTATGAAGTCTTTAGCTAAGTTCTGGTTAATGTATTCTTTTAGTGCAACCAATTCATTTTGCAATAAGTTGTAAATCAATCTGAATAGTGGTTGAATTCTTTCTTGTAGATCAATTGTACAATCATAGGATTGATGCTTTAAAATAATATCTGCATTTTTCTTTTCTAAAACGTCCTAAAAATCTTAATACTTACTAGCAATAGCATGATGTCTTTTTACCATAAAAAATGGATACAACATATATAGCAAAAGATAGCCTTTCTTTTGCTACATGCATAAAAACTCTTGCACTTACTAGTACGAGTTTGGATATAGAAGACTTATCTATTTTTACTTCACTATCAAAATGTTGGATTAAATTACAAGAAA